ATGCCACTGCAGAATCGAATCAACCAAGCCAAGCAATGCCATGCCGACACAGTAACGGCCTCCCCAGCGTCTTTGCAAACACGAGTGTGCTCTGACAGTCATGCGGACTGGAGACTTCTTTAAATGCCACCCCCATTCGGCCAAGATGGTCACCCTGCTGAGTATGCGCCGGCAAATCAGGGCCTTGGACGTCGTGCTTGCCTTCTTTGCCCTATGCGGAGCGCTGAAATCCAATTGCCTTGCATACCGGCCCGCAAGAGGACAGGTCATGCTCGTCATCGAGTGCACCGGAATCGCTGCGCGACGCGCCGGTTACTGAAGACCTGTCAATGAGGCACAGCATAAGATGCCATTGCCGGCAAGCAGCAGTGATCGAAGTTAATATTTCGACCGTGGTGTGGGTACGTGGCATAGTATTTATTAATAGTAGCGAGGCCTTCCCTGCAATCTGTGTGCATTTCACCCCGCGGCGGACACACCACCTGGCTGGACAGGCGAGCAGCACACAGAGTAAATCCCCCGCGCCCGGCCAGCGACGCTGTCCCACACGGATCAAGGACCCATTGCTCACGTGGTCCGAGCCCGACTGGAGCGGTCTCTAAGACCACTCTGAGCTTGGGCGTGCAGGATGGGTAGGGCGAGTCGAACCAAGCCAAGCAATCCAAGCAAGCCAAGCAAGCCAACCAAGCAACCAAGCCAACCAAGCAGTGGCACGTGACAAAGGACCACGTTTCAGCTTCCAACACATCCGGCTTGGACAGAAGCGAACACCATCGCTCAATACATCCGGCTTGGACAAATGCAAAAGTGTTTGGCAAAAAAGGGTTTCCTCACGCTGGCTTCCCAGTGTGCTTTAAAATGTTTTGGTCAACGGCCGTGCCCCCGGCACTGAAATTCCTAATAAAATACATAAATAAGCTAAGACTACAACAGCTTGAAACCTTAAATCGGTATATTGAACTGCACTATTGAGGAAATTGGTTTTGGCCTTCAAACCCCCCTGATCCAGCCCCCAAGGATCCAACCCTCAAAACGAGTGTGTGGATTTTGCGAGGCTGAACTCGATGATTAATGATCGATTCATCGAGTTTGATGAGCGAATCCACCGATTCAACGAACAGCGCGCTGGATCTCTATCCATGCAGCTTGCTGATACGATTCGCCATCTCAAGCACTACCCGGATGCGATACAGCAAATTCAGATCAACATCTCGAATGCTGAGGCGCGTATCGCTGATCTCGAACAGAACGCATCTCACCGAGTTGAGGTGATTCGTTCGGAAATGAGCCGGGCTCTCTACGATCACAAGGAGAGTAACCGAGTTTTTATCGATCAGCTCACCGCGCGTATTCAGCATCTTGAGGGCGTTCACGCCCGCAGGAGTGGTTCTGATAAGTCGACTCCTTCGCGCCCGGAACGGACGCAGTTCTTCGACATCAGTGACCATGATGGGGAAATCCCACGTCCTGCGGACTTGCCACCAGTTCCTGGTGCTCTATTCCCTGGCGGACATTCTACAGCCATTCCGCGATCTTCGCTGTTAGGTCCGATTGATCATGGCTCTCCGCCGGGGTGCAATGCTGCGCCTGCTGAAAAGGCCTCAACGGTGCACTCCCAGACGAGTGGCATCAATCTCGATGAGATTTTGAGGCGTGCACAGCAACGAGTCGCTGACGAACGTCTTGGAGAAAGTCGTGGGCAAAATAATCCTGCTGAGCCCGTTCAACAGAATTATGGCCAAATGTCAGCCTCTTTTTCGGGAAGATCGCCAAATCCGCCAGTTCCTCCCGCAAATGCGTCTGGAAATGCTTCCGGTCAGGCTCCGAGCTTCAGGTCTTTCCCTGCAGATGATGATCTTGCCATTCGCAGTGGCCGTTCATTCCCTGGAGCCCGAAGCTTTGCTCCAGAGCCCAGACCGAGTCCAACGTTCCCTTGCCAGATTTCTTACGATACCCGTACTGTTCCCGCAGGAAAGGGGCCATCAAGATGGTACGATGCCATGCTTGGCCGATCCAACCTGATCGGCAATGACGCCAGTGCACCGATTCTTCACAGCGAGACTGGCACTTTCACTTTGGCCCCGAATCCGAGCGTAACTGCTACGCTCCGTCCCACTGCGGTGAACAATTCTGCGCCACCGATGCCCACTTTCAATGCCAGAACATCTGCTCCTGCTCCGAGTTCTGCACCGTCCGGCTTCGGAGGGATGCCCGCGCAAGGCGGAAGTGATGGTCCCCCCGGAGGTGACGGCCCCAACGATAACGGGGGTGCATATGGTGGTGGTTTCGGTGGACACGGATTCGGCTCTGGCTTTGGTGGCGGAGGAGGTCCGCCTGATGGTCCACCCGGTGGCCCACCTAGTGGCCCGCCCAGTGGTCCGCCTGGAGGCCCGCCTGGAGGCGATGGTCCTCCCGGAGGCGGTGGCCCGCCTGACGGTGGCCTTGATCCTCCGAGCATGCGACCTTCTGGTCGACCGAATGGAGGTGATACCTTCCAGTGCGAACGATGCACTGGCACCTTCCCGACGTCTCTCAGGCGATTGTGCATCTCTTGCCGATTTTCATGCTGCAAAGGGTGCTGCCGAGATCCACTGAGGATTTGCCTCGTGTGTCTTGAGAGACAAACCGGAAACCCGCCCGGCCCCAACGATACGGGGTTCGGTGGGCCCAAGGGCGATGGATCACTGAGCGATGCAAAGAAGGCGAAATGCAAGTCCTTCCGGCTCGATGCAGAGCCTGAGCCCGCTCAGTTGCGCCGATGGATCGTCGATATGAAAGAGCGAGTTGCCAATGCATTCGCCTACGATCCTGCCTATGCCCTCTCATGGGTTGAGATCCCAGATGGCACTCGATACGAGGATCTGCTTGAAGAGTGCAAATACGGGATGCTCGAGAACGAATGCAACTCAGCTTTCCGAGAATGCGTTCGATCCATTGCTCTGAAGAACAAGATCCAAACCGAAACCGAGCGCATGCATACGATTAACCGGCGACTCGGGAGTAGGCAAATCTTGTGGCTATTGTACGATTTCCTCCGGCCGCACGTCACTGGCGATTCGACCTTTAAGCTTGTCGATCTCATGAAGACCACCATTGATCGGTTCACTCATGGATCTGAGCAAGAGAGGCTTGAAGCGTTCTCCAACAGATGGGATCACGTTCTTGCCGGCATTTCTGTCGATCGCCCAGAAGATCCTGTCCTCTGCGCTCTGTTCTATGAGCAGGTTCGGGAGTTTAAGTGTCTCGAGCTCGATATGCAATTGTGGGACAGAGATGTGTCTGTGCGAAATTACGCATACTTGCGGACCGTCTGCGTTAACGCGATTACCACGTGGCGCCGGCGGCGCAACCAAGAGAAGATGTACACTGCCACACGATCCTCCTCTGCGCAGAGGCGATATGCTGCGCCCGCGCACGGCAGCCCACGAAGATCATACTCGAGGGGCAAGAGGGGATCGAGGTCGCCTGGGCACCGCGACTCCCGGAGAGGAAGCCCTCGCCGGAGAGGATCGCCAAGACGCACATCGCCCAGACGGTCGTCCCCGAGGCGAGGCTCGCCAAGGCGGTACTCGCAAAGCCCTGGGAGGGCAGCTCCTGCCCCTCCCCGACGATCCCCGTCACGATCACCACGGGGACGCGATCTCTGCTACGATTTCAAGAAAGGCAGATGCACGCGAGGAAGCGCCTGCAAATTCTCCCATAATCTTAAGGGCAGAAGCTCCTCGCCGAAAGGGTTCCCGCCAAGATCCCAGTCACCGATATCAAAGGAGTCTGGCATATGCTTCTATTACGCACGAGGCACCTGTACCAGAGGTGACAAGTGCCCATACAAGCATGTCAAGCCGGGTGCCGCTCCAGCTGAGAGCACCCCTGTTGCCGCTCCTGCGCCCGCTGAGCCCGCGCCGACATCACGGCGGGTTGACAGCCCGGCGCCAACGCCCTCGGATTTTTGAGAGGGGCGTGCCGCAACCCTCAGGCAATGACAGCGACCTCCTATGGAGACTTTGCGTTCGCTTGCGCTGCATCATTCGATATGGCTTGTCCGTCAGTCAAGCGGAAGACAGTATCTTTTGGGAATACTGAGACCCGCGTGATAGAATCTTCTTTCCCAGAGCCAGTCTTTGGCCCAGTGAATCGCGAGAGGAATTTGAACTATTCGTGGCCGGAAGATATCCGTGGTCTGAATAGTGCTCGCGAGAAGCGTAGGGCTCACATGAAGGCTGTGCTTTGGAGAGAGCAGGTTTTGCTCGATGACGTTGATGCCAAAACGCTAGGAAATGATGCCTGTGTCGTAGAGCTCACGCTCTCCAAGCGAAGTGCTTGCGAAGTTTTCGCTGCTGCTGTCAAGTCTGTGAAGAGGGTCCGGAGGCTTATGCTTGACTCCGGATGCGGCATAGACCTTATTGGTCTAGGTGACCTGTCCCGCGAGGAGAGGGATCTGATAGTCCAGAACGCGAAGATCAGTCTCAGAACCGCGAATGGTAAGACCAATACCAAGGGTGTGGCTCATATGCGGATCGATGGACTAGATGAGCTGGTCGAGGCGTATGTGCTAGAAAGCACGCCGAGTCTCCTGTCCCTAGGGAAACGATGCAAGGAACTCGGTTACCGATTTGTGTGGGATCCCTACTGTGACCCAGTATTTTATGATCCGAGTGGGAGACGGCTGAAAGTCGATGTTATCAATAACATTCCGTACCTCGCCCCGAGCGAAACCGAGGTAGTGGCCGGCCGTCCTGATCTCCCGCGAGTTTACCCGGCTCTTCCAGCGCCCATAATCGTACATGAGAAAGTTGTCGCGGCTGGTGAGGAGCCGATAGGTGAAATGGATGAGATTGGAGAACTCGATCTCGACATGCCTGGTGTCGAAGGCGCTCAAAAGAAGGTGCCTAACGATAAGAAAAAGGCACCTGAGCAGCCTATGCCCCAATCGCCGCCCGATGAACCTAGAGCGCGCGATTTGAGGGAGGAGGCAAAGTCGATTCGTCATTTGATGACGCATTTGCCAAAGAATCCCTATTGCGATGCCTGTCAGCGTGCAAAGATGGAGAATGTTAAATCGTTTCGCCAAGACTCCCCACGCGATAAAGGGTTTGAGAAGTTTGGCGAACATGTCACCATCGATACAATGGTATTGCACGGACTCGGCAATCACGGGAATAACGGGGAAACCGATGCTGTTGTTTTCTATGACTTGGCCACTGAATGGCTGGAGAGTGTCCCCGTTAACGGAAGAACGAATGCCGACACGCTGAGAGCGTTCCAACAGGTCTTCGGAGATCTTAAGGATGTGAACTCGTTCTCCATGGATGTCGAAAGAAGATATGCACCATCGGCAATCCGGGAGATTTATTGCGATAAAGCTCGCGAGTTCATATCGACCTGTAAGAAAGTCGGTATTTCGGTTAAGCATTCTACTCCAGGTATGCCCCGAACCAATGCCATCGCCGAGAGCAAGGTGAAACTTGTCCTTCATGGCGCAAGAGTTGCGCTACGACAGGCGGGTCTGAGCGCCAAATTCTGGCCATACGCGTGTAAGCATTTCTGCCACGCTCGAAATATAGAGCTACGAGATGCCCAGAGTGCTTATGCTCAACGATTCGATGGAGCCGAATTTGACGGTCAGATCCTCCCCTTCGGTTGCCTTGTTGACTTCTTTCCCACGCCGGCTCGAAAGCAGACCCGGCGCAGTCAAAAGGATGAAGTCGTACTCGGTGATGGTGAAGAGTATGCGTTGCCCGCCCCTGACGACGATGGGATGATTGATGTCGAGGTTGGTTTTGATGAGGATGGATTCCTCGAATGGGTTGACGATGGTGAGGATGACCAACCCGGTTCCCGTCGCGGAGCAGGCACCGATCACCGTCTCTCGTCCTATCAGCGCCCCAGCAAGTTCTCTCCTACCAGTAAGCCTGGTATCTTCCTCGGGTACCACTTTGAGAACGGGGGTAAGTGGGATGGTGATTACATTGTCGCTGACCTTGAGGATTTCAAGCGTGATGCACTGCGCGCGAGTGTCCATCAGGTCAAGAAGATTTATAGTTCTCCCAAGGAGAGATGGACGTTCCCGATGTTAGCGGTGTACGATAAACAAACCCGCTCGATGTGCATCAACGATCCAGCGATGCAATCGGCCGCTCCTCAACCGAGTGAGCGTCTGGACGCCTCCGATATGATTGATCTCGAGGACATCGATGAAATATTTGCTCTCGATGAGTCTCGTCGGATGACGGACGAAGATATTCGGCAGTCCCGTGAGGCTGAGTTACGAGCCGAATCTTCTCATGGTGGAGGCGTTGATTATTGGGAATACGATCCGTCTGCGCATCGATGGACTTACCACGTTGTGGTACCGAGGAAGGCAATGGTCCATCCTAGCAAGACTCCCGGATCCATCGGCGATGCGCCTGATCCCTGGAAGTTGAGCACAGTGCGCATTTCGAATGTCCAATATAAGGACAAGAACCCGGTAACGATCTACGAAACCGGGTATGCCTTCGGCAAAACGAGGCTGATGCAGCTCTGGACCGGCACGGTAGAATTTTATGATGATGGCTTTGCACCACCCAAGAAGAAGTTGCCTCCATACCATGGATCTGAGATCCTAGAGGGCGAGGGGGTTTTGCCATATCGTCAGAGTGTGCCGCGTGCTGAGCGTTCGTATAAAGGGTCTCGCAAACCCAACTGTATTGACTCCGAGTCCTGGAGAAGCATGAATCGCGCAGAGCGGGAAGGCTATGTTGAGGCCGAGCGTCGGGAGGCTGAATCTCGCGCTATGTCTCGTGAGGACTCCCGTGACGCAGCTGCTGCCGATATCGCTTTCGATTTGGAGTATGAGTCTGGCGCCGAGAGGCATGATAAAGACTATTGGCATCACGATGTCGCTGCTGGCACGATCACTCGATTCCATGTGGTCGAGCGCCGAGCGCGATTTAATCCTACGTCCGTCAAGGACTGCCCGGTGGATCCATCCACTTTGACCGATGTGCGAGTGACTATGGCCATGACAGATGGCACTGAATTTACGATGCAAGTTTCTTGGAGGACAGCTGACGTTCGATCATTACCCTGCAGATGGACTGGTAAGACCATTTTCGTAATTGGTTCCTCTACTAAAACGCAGGTCAAGGTTCGGACCACCCTACCGAGTAAGGATGGTACTGAGCGGCGTGTGCAGACCGCGAACGGGTACTATGGTCACGCCTTGCGTGCTAAGGAACGACCTGTCATTCCTCCAAAAGCTCGTGCTTGCATCGTGACAGATCTCGAGTTTGATCCTCCCAATGGCATGTCCGCACGACTCCAGCCCCTCAAAGGCCAGATGAGGGGGCTACTCAGTCAGGTGTTGATGTCATTAACCCTACTGACTCTGAGATCGTTGTCGACTCTGGGCAAGATGTTGCAGTGGTGCAGTTTTATACTTCTGTGCTAGCTGCTGTTGAGCTTGACTTCACAGCTGATGATGACGTTAGTGCTTCGACCCCGATTGTACTGACGTCGTGGCTGATGCTGCACCTGCGATGCCTACCCGATCTGAGTCACACTCGCATCGATCACCCGATTCTTCGGTGTTCTTCTACAGCGCCTGTGTCGCACGGCCCGTTGATCGCAAGGAACGTGCCGCTAATCCCAAGGCTAAGGCCGCTCTTGATAAGGAGTGGAATAAACTGATCAATCAGGGTTGTTGGGATTACGCATCTGTGCGTGAATGGCGCGATGTCTCCAACGAGGCTATGGCCAAAGGTGAGACTGCCCATGTCGGCAGAATCTTCGATATATGCGTTGAGAAGAATTCCGAGCTTCCGGAATCTGACCCAAATCGCAAATTCAAGGGTCGTGTCGTGTTTGAGGGTTGTCATGTTAAGGATGAAGGCAACAACTGGGCTATTTTCTCCGAGATAACTTCATGCCCAGCGACCATGGAGGCAGGTAAGGCCGCCGATGCATTTGGCCTCCTGCCTGGTCACGAGATTCAAGTTGCCGATGGGGAATCCGCATACACGCAAGCGAAGCTTGGTGGTCCTGCTACATGGGTGCGATTGCCCAAGGACCGATGGCTGCCCGAATGGCATGGCAAGTATCACGATCCTGTTGTGCGTTTGGTGCTGGCCCTGTACGGGCATCCTGATGCCGGCGGATTCTGGGAGCAGCACTGTGAGAAGGCTCTCCGATCGGTTGGCTTCGAACAATGCCCCGATTGGAAGAGCGTCTTTCGCCATCCTAAGCTTAATCTGATGCTAGTCGTCTACGTTGACGATTTCAAACTCAGTGGACCCAAGGCCAATTTGGCTAAAGGATGGGAACTCATGGCTTCAAAGATCAAATTGGAGCCTCCATCCAGCATCAAGCGTTACTTGGGGTGCGAACATGTAACGTTCTCGCACGTGGTCCCCAGCGCTTTCGATCCTCGCTCCTACTGGACGCGATTCGAGGAGCCGAAGAAAGCATTTCCCGAGCTCACTTTTGGCGATAGAAACACTAGTGTCGCGCAGGGCTCAGTTGGTCCTCGCGAAATTCGCATGATTAAGTATGACATGCGGTCATTTATGGAACAGTGTGTTTCTCGCTATGTTGAGCTCTGTGGTCCCAAGTACAAGGCTACTCTGCGTTCTGCGGATACGCCTTTCCTCGACGAGTCGCGACCGGAATTCGATACCAATCCGGATCGTCCTGCGGTGAACCGTCTCATGGGTCATCCCACAGATGCCCCGGTTCCTCCCGGAAAGGGGGTTCTGGGTGACTGCGCTGCCGCAGTCCTGATGAAAATACTGTATGGTGCTCGCATGGGGCGCTACGATCTTATTCGTCCTGTGCAGGCACTTGCCAGTCTGATCACTAAATGGGATGGTCTCTGCGATAAGAAACTCCACCGACTTGTGTGCTACATCAATTCTACCCTCGATCTCAATTTGTACGGGTGGATCGGTGATGCACCTGAGATGCTGGAGCTTGTGCTCTATTGCGACGCCGATCTTGCTGGCGATCGTACCGATTCCAAGAGCACCTCTGGTGTCTTCATGTGTCTTCTTGGACCGAGGAGCTTTATGCCTCTTAACGCGTTGTCTAAGAAACAAACGTCGGTGTCGAAGTCTACGCCTGAGGCTGAAATTGTCTCTCTCGATCACGCAGTCTATAAGCTTGGCCTTCCTGCTCTCTCCATGTGGGAGTATATGTTGGGTCGTCGTTTCCGTCTGCGGGTCATGGAAGACAATGAGGCCGCTATCCGGGTCGTTATCACTGGTCACAATCCCAACGTGCGTCACATGTCTCGTACCCAGCGTATCGATATTTCAGCCTTAAATGAGCGTTATCACGCTGGGGATTTTATGTTTGTGACTTGTCCCTCTCAGTTTGAGGCCGGTGATATCTTGACCAAGGCCTGCACTGATGCGAAAGTGGCAATCTCATGTCTATTGGTCATTTCCGAAAAGGTACTCTTATTTCCTCCGGTATGTTGTCTGCCGCTCCCGCTTTGCCTGCCCTCCCCTCTGTCTGTCCAACCAGGGGGGTACATCTTGAAACCGGTCACAGTCCCTTCAACGATTTCATCATCGAAATGTCTCGTCAAGGGGGTTTTGCGATCGATGACGTTCACCAATTTGGAGCAGCGATAAAATGTATCCATATTGGGAGCGATGGCATGATTCACATCCCTCATGCTCGAAGTATCAATCTCAGTCTCGATTCAAATGCAAAGGGGATTGATATTTCGAACATCAGGGTTCCGCCAACGCCCACAGTATGCGTTGTGACTGTTCCAATTGCTGACGTCAGCAACAAACGTGACCCAGGTGTCAAGAACAGGGGTTGGAAAGAAATGAGGGGTGACTTGAAGGAGAAAGGATGGGAAGCCAAGAAACTGCTAGGATGTGCATCTCTAGCTCGATCATCCGGTGTTCCCGTTTTCCTCGTGTTACCAAAGGGAAACCCGCTGTGGGGAAGAGAGTACATAAGACGATGGTCTGAGTCGCATGATCTTTGTCCTGTTAAGTTATGCTCTTGTTCCTCTGATCGGTGTTCGCAGCATGCATGGTTGTGCGAGATTTTCATGCCTGCCCGTTTTGGGCCGATTTTCATGTCACGCTTTGCATGTAACCATAAGAAAGCCAAGAAGGCTGATCCGAAGGAGCTTCGACATGCGTTGTGGGCTGTGCTTGATCATTTCATGAAATCTGCGGCCCTTGGCTCACAGCAATCCGCGATGCCGATTGCTTAAACAAAGACGCTAAGGCCATGATCACACACACACATTCACACCTGTACTTCTACACTTTAAGAAGACCGAAGAATGAAGCTCAAGGAACGATGATCATAGATCACCAAGGACATCCGACCACTACAGACCACCTCTACTACGACTCGAACCTTAGCCCACTTGCGCTCCCTGCTAGGACAGGTCGTAGCTGCCACGGGCCGCGAACTCCTTTGTGCCGCTGCTGCCTCCGCCGCTGACGATGGGGAAGAACAAGCAGCCGCCGACTCCGAAGAAGGCGGCTGCCAAGGCTTCGGCCTCCCGATCACCTCAACCGAAGTCGCCAGCCCGAAAGGTCGATTGCCATGAGGGTCTTCCGGCGGGTCCGATTGCACCCGCCGGAGGAAGGCCGCCTGCTCCACCGATTCCCTCGGAGCATGACGATACCCAAATGGGTACCACTGACGCACCGGTTCCGATCTTGACTCCCCGAGATGAGTCTACCGGAGGCGTCAAGGCTGAGATCCCAATGGAGATCAGAATGAAAGCCATGATGCTGAAGTTCGGTGTCCAGGAGATCCCGGAGGCTACTATCTGGCAACGACTCGGCCAGCTGACATGCAACCACGGGGCCGATGGGAAGCTCAATAAGCTTATTGAGTCGTTCATCTTCAGCATGCACCCGCTTGCGGACAAGCAAAGAAAACAGTTTCCTTCCGAGTTTATGGATCTGTTTGACCGATACAAAGTGATGTCCGCTCTGACATTCGCCCGTGTGGCGACTCTATCGGGTGATGATGAAGGTGCTCCCGAGAAGATGAGCCTGGCGATATCCCTTGTGCGTCATTGTATGCACTTCCAGGCGAACAAATTCAAGGGAATCCGTGAGGTGATGAGTTACGATACGCTCTGCCTCATGGGCGAAAGCTACATTCCATCGCCTCTTGCGAACTGGAACCGAAACCTCATGGGGTACAGTAGCTACAATGCCCACCAGCGGTGGCTGAGAACCGATACGAGTCTCTCGCACAATGATCTCATGACCCTGCCGCCTATTCAGCGATCCGCGGAGACGATCAACCAGGACGAAGCAGCGAAGCTCTTCAGGGGTTTCCTGCAGCTCCGTCCTACTCTGTCGTATCTCCCGGGGTCGTTCCTGGCGCTGAAGGCCCTCAATCGATTCCCTACGATTGATTCCCTGAAGGAGCAAGCTAAGCACCTTGAGGATGACCGAAAGGAACACGGCTACGAGTCTCCTGCCGTGGATGCCAATGGAATCGGAGAGGTGTCCGCCTTTAGCAACGAGGATGACGATGAAAACACCCCGTTGCTGCGCGGCTGGCCCTCATACATGAGGGCTCTGGCGGAGGCATTTCCCGAGCGATGTGTCAGCATTGATGACACGCTCAACTGGTCTGTTGCCGCCCCGATGGTTTATGAAGACGGTGCGCAACAGGTCACCATCAAACCCACCGACGGATGGGTGTATGTCCCAGCGATGAACTCGGACATCTACGACCCAAAGGATACGTTCCTTCATGGGACGAATCTCCGATACATCTGGTCGATTCTTGCCCATGGTGGTCTGTTTGGTGAGAATTACGAGACTGACGACCACGGAACCCAAGAACCCTGCGTATGGGTTACTGGCAGTGCCTCTGAAGCTGCCAGTAGCTACGCCTCCGGCACGTACATTGGGGCAGGATATTGGTTCCAAGTCATGGTCTGCGTTTCAAAGACCCTGGTCAACACCCACTCCCGGACCACGAAGGGGCTGGGAGGATCGAGGAAGCAGATCCGAGTCGGAACGAAGTTTCTCGAGCTGTGTGGGATTGCATTCCGCCCGTTCCGTCTCCCTGATGACCGCGAACATGGAGTGTCTACCTCCCCGCAGTACGTCATCCACGGACATCGATTTCTCAGCGAGGATGGAAAGACATCTTGCGCATGGCATCCGTGGATGGAGGCGAATCCGATTGACCCTCGCATTCTGAAGATGCTGGGAAACGTCTTCGGAACGAATTCCGTTGAGTTTGCTGATCTTCCGATCCCTGGTGGCAACACCGAGGAGTCCTCTAAGGCTACCGATGCCAAGCCTTCAGAAGGTGCCGGGTCTGCGGATCAAGCTGCGACGGGTGGTGAGGAACAGCCCGAGCGAATTACCGTTCACCCTTCCGTCCTGAAACGGAACCGATGGATGCCCGAGGGGACGGGAACGGCTGAGAATGCCACTGTCGGTGGCCGCTATGGCTTGCAATCCGAGCTTCAAGCGTCGAGCTATCGTTTTGAGGTTGCCCCCTTCTTCCAGATGAGAGCCCCTACCTTTGGGGAGAGTGGAGGTCAGGGGCTGCCGAAACCTTCGAAGCTCTTCATGATCGCCGGGGGACCATCCAAAGAGTGGGATGCCTGGTGCCTGCACTACCGACAGGCCTATAGTGGCGCGTTTGGCAATTTCGGCTTTACGCCTGCCAGGAGTGCCAAAGGCATTCTCTACGATGAAGATGACACGACAGATATCCTTGCCAAGCCCGCGTGGAGTCCCGCCGATGCCTTAGTGGCGGTTGGGATCCACGGCGTCAGGACTGTCACAACGATGGCATCTACGCTCGCATATGGGGGAGCTCCGCCAACGACGAAACCGGCGAACCCCAATCAGCGGCAGAGGTTTGTTGTCATGCATGACGGTCTGCTCTCGTTCCGATCGAAAACGAACTGGCACACCGGTGACATGAACACGCACCTGACGAATGCGCTGATCAAGTACGGATTCCAGGATCCTGACGTGCGCGTGTTTGCTGTTGAGGAACCGGACTGCTTCACGCTCGAGAAGATGATTGAGACCATCGAGCTGATGCAGAGCGAAACCAGCATCCCGAGATCTAACGTGCACATTCTCCTGCTATGGAGAGGAGCTGACCTATGGAAGTTGGATCAGGGATGGACCAAGCTCATGGGCAACATCAACGAGTCACGATGTAAATACGCCAAGACGAAGGCTCGGGACGCAATCGAAGAGCTCAATACGATTTATGGCTCGGTGTCCCTCTGTGGGCCGGCGTCACCAAGCATGGTCTTCCTTCCGACTCTTCCCGGCGCTCTCTTTGAGAAGTACCGCACGGAGATGAGGTCGATCTGGGACACGGTCAGGAGGTCGAACTTCCTTACCCTCTCGTTTGATGCAATCCTGGAGGGGCTTCCGTACCTGAAAGGATTTTCCATCATGCACGAGTCCAAGACCATCGGGGCACTGTGCACCCGAATCTGCTCAATGTTCACGCTTGCGGCTCTCGCGCGATTCCCACCGTACGATAATCCTCGGGACTTCGAGACTGCAGCCGAGAAGATGTGGGCGCGGACCCCGGTCCCAGACGATAAGCCCAAAGGCGAGAAGAAGGCTATCGTGCACTCTTCCGTCCAGGATCTCCTGGATGCGAAGGACCGCGGGGCCGATCACGGTGCCCCGCAGACCTTCGATCAAAGTCAGCTCGGCTTCGCTGATGATGAGGAAGAGATGGCCGATGATGCTGGCCCATCTGTTCCAACGGTCCCGATCAAACAAGAGACCGTCAAGCAAGAGCCGAGCACTCTGGGAGATCTCCCCGGCGTGCGGAATCCGGATCCGATCAAATTGCCGGAGACTCCCGTGCCTGGCCAGGCTATGCCTATGCCTGTTTCGCCCCCTGCTGCTCCTACTGCCGGTGACGATGACAATGAGTCCGGCAGTGACTCCAGCGATGACAAGAAGGATGGAGACGGAGACACGGCGATGTCGGAGAAAACGGAGACCGATCCTGAGTTTGATGAACTCCTCTCCGGCATGACAGATGCGTTCGAGCGCATGCCCACGCCTCGTGACGCTGAGAAGGTTGTGGCTGCCAATCGCGATGCAGCTCGCCCTCCGGCAGTGCCGTCGCTCCCGATCTCCGGCGAGAAAAGCAGACCTAAGCCGATTGGTGGTGAGGAGGCTTCCGGCCCTTCCGCCGAAGGTCGTCAGCAATACGCGCATTACTCCCGAAGCTTTGTTAGCGAAGCTGAGGCGCGTCGCGAGCAAGCCTCGCAGGTGAAGACAATGATTGCCGAAAAGGCGAAGGGCGCTACCGGTGTCGAAGGTGCCGAGCACCTCCGAATCATTGCCGAAGGACTTGCCAAAGTGATTGACCCGAACACAAACGAAGACAATGTGTTTCAGGGCGCGCTTTACCCTCCGGGTGACTATGCGCTGGACGCAGTCACTAACCGATTGGCTCAGGGCAGACGGAGGGTGGAGTCGAACAGTACCCTCATCCGGGAGATGGCAAGCGACCGATTCAGTCCTGTGCTTGTCAACCGCGATACGGGTGAAACTGTGTCGGCTATCGATGCCCGATGGACCCCTGAATTCGGAAACAGGGGGGAGTTGGAAGCCAAGGTTGGAGCGATCATTTCCAACCTTGATGCAGCGATTGCGAGTGTGGCGACACTTCCGGTGTTCCATCCGCACATCCCTTCGACGTACGGTATTGCACGAGCGCTGCTCAATACCTACCAGTCGTTGCAGATCGCTATCCGACACCGTGGCATGGGCGCTATGGCCTTCGAACAGATGATGTTCAAGCCAGAGGACCTTGAGGCTCCGACCGCCGATGATTGGCCGGACCTCATTGCGCCTTCTCCTGGAAAGGTCATTCAGTCCATGCGTGTTGCCATGGTGAACAACACCGCAGCTAGGATAACGAGAGAAGACCTTAAGCTGCCGGCTGGCTACGCCATGCAACGTCGGGTGACACAGTTCCGAAAGCCCGACGAAGACCCAGTGCAAAGCCTGATGGGTCTTACGAACGATATGAGCTATGGCAGCACTGGCCGAACTGGGGACGATCGATGATCTCAGTTTCAGCAAGCTGTTGCCATGCAAATGCGCAGCACTGCGGGATTCCTCTCGCAGGAGTTCCGGAGGCACGCTCGATCAATTGCTGCCTCCTCGTCGCGACGCAGCGACGGCTCTGGTGCTGTGAGCAGCCAGGGCGACGGAGCGTTGGAGAGCGATCAACCATCAATTGCGCCGACCGGTGACACATCGGATCGTGCTGCGACGCCTCCTCCGCCATCCGAGGATCCTCCGCCACCGCCTTCTGCGAATCAGCCTCCGGAGGCGTCTGAAGAGGCCGCAAAGGAAGGTGGCGATGACGAGGAGATGGAAGACGACTCGGCTGGACAAGAGCCCAAAGAGGATGATAAGATGGGTGACGGGGAGGAGCAGAAAGACGAGGTCCCCGGCAAGGCCCCGCCTTCTGCTGCCCGAACCACCGATAACCCTCCGGAACACGGCGTGCGTTCCAGTGGCTGCCCAAGGGGCTGTGCTCTCAGGAGCCCGCGGACCACCGATTGATGTCCGCCCAGCCAGCACCGCTGCTGACCAAGCCGCAAACGATCCGAAGAAATATAGGATCGAGGGCCCTGGGATCAAGGCGACAACGATTCATCGCCCTGATCAGATGCCCCAGAGAGGCATCGATTCCATCTCGCCGATAGTGCAGTACGAGATGAACTCCGTTCCGGTGGCGCTACCGGAATTCGTCGTCCCAGGACTCGATGTGGCTGTTGACGACTCAGTCAATGGCAGACTTGTTGCAGCGACATGTCTTCCGCCAACCGATGAACAGCGGAAATACTCGCGGCACCGATTCGCTATGTTCTCCTCGAATCAGACGATGTATCTGAACGTGGCGCTCCACAAGAAGCCCGCGCAGGGGGATCACGACTCCTTCCTCCGTCCGGAGACATACGAGGAATGCCGCGACATTCACGATGCTGGCAGGGCGTACTCTGCCCGCGAGCAGCAGTCCCGCTCTATCGGTGGCTCTACGATCACGTGCAACCGATTGTTGAACGACGATGCACAGAGCATTCCTCCCGCCAGGGTTCCCGATGAGGCCATGACCAACCTGGTGCGAAAACTGATGTTCCGCGTGGTCACGCAAACGAAAGAGTACCCCACGACCATCGATCCGGCGAAGAAATCTGATGATCGAGTGAGGGGTGTCCCGCTGTACTCTTACCTCGATTCGAGTGGGATCATCGCGTTCGATGTTATTCCGATGTATATGGAACGCGAAAGGGAGTACATGAAGCAGAACGCTAGTGAGACTAGCGGTCTTACCCTTCTCCAGACGAGCGTTCTGGACGAGACCAACAAGCCCTCCGAGCTCACACTCCAGTGCATTCTGGAGATCGCAAGGACGGACAACAACCGAATGTTCGAGTTCTTCTATTCCACGATTAACGGAAATGGAGTTCCTCAGTTCGTTGGGATCCGTGCTGCGTATGGATTCGGCCCCGATAATTTCAACCGATTCCGACAGCTGACGAAGTCCAAGCACGGACCGTTCATTCAGCTGGCCCAGGAGCATTACGTCTCCGGTGAGCGAACGAGAAGTGTCTCGCGACACCACCCCCAGTACGGATGGGGATGCGCAACGATCCGCGAATTCTTCGGATACATGAGCGACTGCCAAGTCGGGCCTCCGAGGGGACAATTGTTCCTCACCCTGCTCCCCTACGCTCCCGGATCTGGGAAGAACAACGAGTGGGAAGAGGTCTACATGAAGGTCCGAATGAACCCCGGACGCGAGACATTGTCTGCATCCGCGGCATCCGCTTCCATGCTCCCAGAGGGTATGGGATCCAATCGCATGATCGTCTTCGCGATTGATGTACATGATTGCCGCAGGCATTAACCCTGTGTCGTTCCATCCGAGGGGATACTACGCGATCAAAGACAGTATTCCTCTCGCATGCATGCCGATAGCATACTTCATGGACACAGGTGCGCTGGTGTTCAATACGGCCTTCAAGTACACTGGAGGTCCGAAGTTTGGAACCGGCCCTGCACGAGGCAGCAGAAACCGAGCATCTTGGCCTCTTGCAAGCTTCGATTGCCCCATGTGCGGCACCGCTTTCCCGGTTGGATTGCACATGTGCCATGCGTGTATGAAGCCGATCCACTACCCTGACGGGATGTTCTACGCCGATCTCCGGAACCCGTTCAGGGTCGAATACTACGGCTCCCACGCTCAATGGCTTAACGAGCTTATTGAGAAAGACCAGCTCAACGATTTCAAACTGCACGAGTATGCCGCGATTAAGCACCTGAGGAACTTCCCGGTGTCTAGATCACTCGCTGAGGATCACAGACAGACCGCGTTCTTCGGTGTGCTCCCGATCAAATGCATCGCGGTGGATACTTCGATGAATGAGGTGGAGCTGTGCAAGAAGAGTGTGCGCGGAACGATTCAAGGCGCCATCAGATTGGACATCTCCATCGAAAGGCTTGTGGCTGGGATCACAGGCAAGGATGCTCGATGTGGCGTGGAGGAATTCCTCGAATCCAAAGCCATCGCCTGTGCTGCCACGATAGCCAAGCACTTCGGAGCGGTCTTTGCCACGTGCAGGGAGAAGCCACTTTGCTACTAATTATGCACGTTGGTCGATTCACTGCCAGCGAGCATACCGATTGTGTCTTAAGCGTGGATACCTCGCCCCCTTCTACACGGGGGATCAGGTCAACTACACTGTTGATGAGGACATGCTTGAGAAGATCCGATTGGCCCACTTGCCTCTTCAGAACGCCAACCTGGAAATGAGGCGCAATGTTCGGCTCAGTACTGAATTTGGTACTTTGGATGAGTTCCGTGCCAAGATTACTGACACGACGAAGTACCAGCGGTACATGCGGGTCGACAGCGAGAGCCTCTCCGCCCTCCTTGCCAGGGTGACCCTTACGACGTGCTACGGCATTCCCGTCAAACGAGAGCCGGGGTACATCTCCGACGATGAAGAAAAGGAGATCGAGGGTACCGCCGATGCAACTGCGGCACCCAAGGCGAAGGGCAAGAAAGGTGGTGGGACTCTGGGTCAAGCCATCAACTGGCGAGAGTTGGATCCCTTGGGGCGGAAGTTCATTCCGCACCATTCCGAGGATAGGTTTGGGATCATTGATGAGGGCATGACCGAAGATCTCGACGCTGCCGGTACGCCCGAGCAAAAGCGTACCGATTTCAAGGAATTTGTCCGAGATCAGGGTCATTCGACGAAGAAGTTCTTCGACGAAGACAGGGATACCGAAAAGGCATTTTTCAACCTTGTCGATGGAATCAAAGATCAGCTTCCCGACGCTAAAAGCACGGATCCTCTTGGGATACCGCCTTATGCTGATGTCTTTGAGGCTATCCCTGAGGAGCTGGAGCAGCCTGAGAATCTGTTCGATGTGGCAGGCCGACAGGCAAGGCAGCGGGATGAAACATCCCAGCGCCGTACGACAACGCCTGCTCGGAGGGAGGTGACGATTCCCGAAGCTCACACTATTCCCGTCCCTACAACGGACGAGGACGAAGACGATACTGAGCTAGATGGAGTTTTGAATCCAGCACCTACGATTCCACGTGTTGGACGTGAGCACCTCGGAGGCGTTGCCCCTGAGGCAGTGCCTCCGCCTCCTCGCGAGATGCCACCGCCATCGAACCTGCCATCGCGGAAATGGCAGCGACAGAGCTATTCTGCGGCTCACCCAGATGGGGAAGTTCTGAAGGTATCCGGCAGGGCAGAATATTCCGATAGAATGAAACTGCCCTCGGTGTTGCGGATGAAGACCAAGGTTCCCGAGGAGGATATGGGAAGCCCGACGATCGAGGATCTCATCCGAATGTTCCATGCGCCGAATACTCTTCCCGTCGTCAGAAAGAGGGCTGCCAACATCATCATTTCGATGAACGCGAACCCGAGAGATGACATCAACATGAAGTCTGCCGGTGTTAGCGTATCTTATGCCGATGATAGTGCCGGGCGCGAAGCGTCGCCCAGTGGTACTTCTGTCACTACGCAGGAGAGAATCAATACCAGGTTCCCTGCGCCTTCCGACAGAACGGCATCGAACCCGCCGTCAAAGATGCCCCGCGATGATAAATGGGCACCATCGATTGCGCGACCTGCGCCTGCCCGAGTAGTTACTAGTACGGAGGCAAGAGGTCGCACTCAGATGCGCACGCCAGAGCCTTCTGCCCCGGCACCTCCGCCGCCTGACTCCGATGCGTCGTCTAATGAGCCGCGGTCCCGAACCATGGGCCCGGCCAAGGAGACTACGACCAAAGGAAAGTCTCGAGGCCCCACCGATACAGGGGGCCTTATTGATGATGCCGATTCTGTGAGGCAGCCGAACAAGGGCAAAGGCAAAGGAAAGACCGATAAAGGAAGAGGAAAGCAGGACAAAGGCCGAGGAAAGGGCGATAAGGGCAACAAAGATCGAAGCGGTCCAGGACGAGGAAAGGACCGCACTCGTAGCCCCACTAGTCGTAGGTGACGACCGTCCGAAAATACGTAGCGATGCATTGTGTCACTGTGCGGTGAATCCGGTTGAGTCTTTCTGACCCTTTAACTTGCGAGTCTGGGTCAGGCAGATTCTGATGGTGAAGCCAAACTATGATACAATTTCCGCTACTTCCTCAGCATTCCTTGCCTGCGCCGCGCTGAGAAGACCCACAGGGGTACAATGGCTAGCCATGGTATTTTCCTCGTGTGTCCCTCTCTTTTCACGGACACTCGATGCTGCCGAGTTTCACACTCTGAGCGCATTGAGTCTAAAGTGTAACCCCCGCTTAGAACCGATGGACGTCCGACTGCCAACGATTATACGGCAGATCGCTACGCGCCTAACGATCACAAGAAAGGCTGCGTTTGTACAGCTGTGAAACATAGGTACGATCCAGATGCAGAGACCGACCCACATCTAATGGCCCTTTAATGCTTTAAGCTTAGCTGACCGGAAGAGGTGTGGCTCGGTGCACAATCAGTGTACGTGACTTTCCTAAACTCCGCTCTCCTCACGCGTGAGCTCGCGTCGAGGGGGGTGTGATTTGTCACGGACATGCGTACATGTGCTTCTGCAGCTTGGTTAGGCTTCTGACCATCTTTGTTTCACGAACGCAGCTTGACAGCTCAAGGACCGCCTAGCGAGTCCCAGGAAAAGACCGCTTACAGCCTGGGGGTTGTAGGACTTGTCTTCTGCCTGAGCGTCAACCTTACGGCACCAATCTCTGATTGTCCTGCCTTTGCTTTGCTGCTTTGCTTTGCCTTTTCTACGATTGGTTGCCTTGGGCTTTGTGAGCGAGAGTTAAGTGGAATCCTCCGCTTTTCACAGTAAGGTTTCAGGCTGCGCAGGTCAAAGACCCCCTGTTTGAATCCTTGCGCAAACCGACGAAAATCTCCGGCGATCCATGTTCCCATCCAACACCCCCAAGAACGCGGAGGCTGAAAGTAACGAAGTTCCCGACAATCGACGAAGAGCACAGATCAGGTGATTCCTGCCAATCCCGAAGTTGGGCCGGAGACGTCACCTCAGGGCTGGCCCAGAATCCAAAGCCACTACGGCGAGAGATCGAGACCGAAACGATTGCTGAGATCGGTGCAGGACTGCAAGGATGCATCGCAGGACGAAGTCTGCAACTCCAGCTTCGAGTCCATCGCCACCCCCTCCTCCCCGGAATTCTCGAAATTTTGACGAAACAATCACGGAACTGTTCACAACCGTTCCAGCCGGTGTGTAAGCACGAGCCGCTGTGCTGCAAGACAAAAAATTCCGAAGCTTACCACACCAAGAGGCCTGCAGCAGAAGCACAACATGCAGAGTGGCTTTTGATGCAAAAATGCGTCTTGGTTGAGAATGCTAGCGAAAATCGCGAGCCGGGACACTCGACAAGCTTTCAAGAAGCTTCCTACGTTGCCATCGTTCTGAAGGACGAGAACAGCTGAGGAGCATACATTTTGAAGCATACATTCTGAAGTTGAGGCACAAGAGCGACCTAATTTTCTTGTTAAGCTCATTCTGCCATTTAGCAGGCTAACGAATCAACACAAGCAGACGGGCACATCAAAAGATTCGCGAAGGGGGGAAGGAGGAAGACGGAGTTACATGCACGCCGTGGCTTTGGCCACAAGGCCTTAGACCGATTGTCATGATATGGTTGCTTACCGTTGCACATGTTGAACATTATCGTACCAAAACTTATCCTTACATACCCAACCGCATGAGCAGCTGCACACGCGGACATATCCCAAAAGTAAGTCACTCGTGGCCTCAAACAGGCAACTTCATGTAGAATCGACTGCAAGCCCCGCTAAGGCAACGTCTTTCAAGTGGGAATAGCGGTAGCCAGTTGAGAACCAACGGAGTGCCTGCAGACACAGGCTGTTGTCATACTAGTATCCCATTAAAGAGACATTCCCGCAGCGAAATGGCCAGGACAGATGGACCGTGTAGAAGAGCAACAAAAAGAGAACAGCACAATTTGCAAAGACAAAACCATCGTGTGCTGATCTCTTAGAAGATCTAGAGGGCTTGTTGTGATTTCAAGAAACGCGTGCGATGCAGTAGAACGAACGGCAGGAAATGACTGCGCAAGCTTGCGGATTTTTGCAGAAATCGGTGACATTCTCCGCTGGCAGTGGCAAGTCACTTGAGCTCTCACCGCAGCCACGTGTGATGTGGAGCAAAGCCGGTGATTTCGGAGCCACGAGCTGACGTCGTCAGCCTCTCGTATTTCACGGTTTAGGGTTGAGGGCTTAGGGCCGTTTAGGGTTTAGCAGGAATCACAAGATCCCTTGAGCTCTTGGGTTTCTTGGCGCTCCTTGCACCGGTGACTTTAAGCACAGAGCCATGTACCGCCGAACCCTTTGGGTTCTTTGCTCCCTGGCCGGCGCCTCTTTCTGGCTCCTGGGCGTACATGCTACCTTAACCCAGAAACGCATTTGGTTTCGGGTTCAGGGTTTCGGGTTCTGGGTTCAGGGTTTAGGGTTCAGGGTTTAGGGTTGAGTCGCGAGATTAGGGCGCATGGGCCCACAGGGACTTCCGTTGACTTGCGCAAGTTAGTTGTTTTGGGCCATGCCTCACCGCACAAGACTTCTCGTCCGAAACTCTGGTCCTGTATAGCGCTAGACACGTTCCAGTTTGATGAAGTAAATTACTATGGTGGCACAGGCAGGAGCCCTCATGCAGAACAACTTCCATGTGTATAGGGTCGTAAGAGGCATGAACAGAAGCAGTTGGAAGCCCGTGCACGGGGCCGTGATTCATAATCAGAATCCCGCATATGACTCATAAGCTACAAGCTGGACCGTTTGCGTTGAATCGTGTCCAGCATTCTTCGGCACTGCATACGGATCGGATTTACCCAAGTTCCAATATGACGCCCGGACTTGCTTCACCGAAGACTTCGTACGATCTGAAGGTGCTTGGAACGTGAAAACCTAACACCCGAGTTGTTAACCAATCCCACACAGGCGGAACATATTTGTCCAACCTCTAGAATGGCAATCGGAAGCAGCAATGCAGACGGATACGTGTTCAGGCGGTGTGAGGTTTAGGGCTTGGGCCTGGCTTCTGGTTTGCCCGAAAGGCCTCGTGTGCGGGAAGTTGGTTGTTCCCTAAATGCTACACCTGAGCCCAAACCTGGCCAGAAATCCCAAATCCTATATAACCCTGAACCGATCCCAAACCACTGTGCGGAGGACACCGAAATGGGGTCAAGGGCAACTCTGGGGTTCACGGCCAAAGTTTTCTAGAGGCACCCTCAGAGCCTCAACCCGTTCCTTTGTAGTGAGTCTGCATAGTTACAACGAGTAGCAAGATTGTACGGCCATATCTTGATCCGAGGCATGTCGCTGGCGCCGAGAGTAGACGCCCGGCTTGTGCGACGATGACATACGATGACTATGCCTGTCAGTACCAACGACTGAAGATAACGGCGGTGATGATGATGATGACGACGATGATGATGGTGATGATGTTGATGATGGTGATGGAGATATGATGACGATGATGACGGCGAGGGCGATGGCCGTGGCCATGGCGATGGCGAGTAGCGATGATGATTGCCACCGCCACCACCATCATCATCATCATGATCATCAACATCATCATCATCATCAGAATCATCGTCCAGCAGCATCATCATCACCTTCATCATCATCATCACCATCATCATCTGTGAGCGATTTTGTAAGGTGTGCCTGACCCCCCCCCAAGTTGGCAGCAGACGTCGTCTTATCTGAAGCTGGGAGACTGCTTGAGACATCAGCCGCTTGCGTTCAAAGCAACATCACGTTTTGAGCCGATAGTGCCCTAAACCCTAAACCCTTTGTGAAGTACCCGTCTCTCATGTTCAGGATGGGGAGTCGGGCTTTCCGTTGCATGCTTGCAGCCCGTCTAGGGCTTCGTGCCCAACTCTGAAGGTTGGCACATGTCTAGCAAAGTCGGGGTCTCTCCGCCGGCGGTTTCCGCTTTACGGCTTAGGGCTTAGGGTTTTGGGGTTTCGAGCACAACCCCAAACCCTGAAACCCTAAACGAAAAGAACCCTTAAAACCCAACTCGGGCCCAGGAATCTCAAATCGCCGTTGGTTCACAGTCTCGGGCGATGCCGGGAAGATGCAGGCCAGCGACCGTTGAGTTCAGGGTTAAGGGTTCAGGGTTTGGGATTCAGGGTTTGGGCTAATGGTTGAGGGTCTAGGGCTTAGGCAAAGGATTGCAGCAATCAGTCAAAAGGAGGGTTGCTGAGTGTCGGCAAGATTCTGGGGCATCCCATACATGCGATGCGGTTTTGGAAGAAGCTTCTGTGTCAGAGTGCAGAGCAACGTGCACATGTTGGACGGAACATCCAGCTTTAGGTTCCAAAACCCGTGCATCTCATCCCTGCTGCAGTTGATGCTTTTCAACTTGATTACAGCTTTTCAAGACAAACCTTCTGATGTCTTTTGAATGCCGCTTGCAGCTTGAGGCTGCAGGATTAGGGTTCACCTGTAGCACAAAGAGCCGATATCCTTAGGGCTTCCTTTACAAGGTAAGTTCAACCCTAAACAATATACCCCCGACCCTAAACCTCTAATCTGAACTCCCTTATCGAACCTCTTCTCAATCGCTTGTAGCATCATGCTTGTAGAATCCTACAAAACATGTTATTGTTGAGGGTGGTGGGTGCGATGAAGAGTGGAGCCTTGATAGGATGTTTTGCGGTGTTTTGGAGGGTTTTTGGAGGAGTTTCAGACCACATCAGGGGGGCCTTGTCTCGGGGTCCTTGTAAAGGATCCATGCTACTTAGGTCCATTTCGAGTTGGCTCGTGTTTTGACAGCCTCCGAATCTCAAAGTCTGAATGACGAAACAAAAAGCCTTTGCGTAGTAGAAATCCCAAATTCCTGCTCAAGCCCTAAGCCTAAACATGGTTTAGGGCCCACGAGACAGTCGGACATTGAGCCATCCGACAGCTCGAGTTGACTCAGAGCCCCAACTCTGAATTCCGCGAACCCCGAGGGCTCATGGCAGCTGCAACAGAAGCCTAATGCCTGAACCCTGCATAGCCTACTTTGTTAAGGTTCCTCAGTAGAATTTTCTATCGTAGGCCCTCAAAGGCCAGGGTAGTTGCGCTTCAGGTGAAGCCACACCCTCAACCGCTGCACGCCCTCTCACCCCCCGCCTGAAAGCAGGCGACTCGAGACACTGTCTGCACGGAGGCGACGGCCGCAGTGGTCAATCGGGATGCGGAGGGTTGAGGTCTCGGATGTTAAGCTCCGAGGTGCCGTTGGGCCAAGCTCTGGAGGGTCAAGGGTCACAGGGTTTAGGGCGCCAGGATAGAGGGCATAGAGGGTGTTTTGCAGATTGTTTCTTGCGGCCTAGCGTGGCTTAGGGTTGGTTCCAGGGGCAGCTACACCTAGAGATGAAAGCCTCAAGCAGTAGCTGCCGTAGCTAGGTCTTGAAGAGACTTGAAGACCATAATTGATACTGCAATGCTTCCCAGATCCAAGAAATGAGATCACAGGTCTGCCCTGCATCGAAATCCAAACTTGAGACCCATGCCTTAAGCCATCATCGTCATAGTCCTCCTCCTCCACCTCCTTCCTCCTCCATCTCCTCCTCCATCATCTTCATCTTCATCACAGCCATCATCAGGTTTTGTGATTGCTATCCTTGCTCTTTTTCAAACGTTCCTCCCAGTTCCTTCTTATTATCGCGTGCTACCATCAGCAGCACCAGTACGACTACGCCGCACTGATACTTGCCACGAAGATCGTCATTGCCATCGGCACGCTAGCCGTAAGACTACGTGGCACCCCTAAACCCCAACACCCCAAAAGCCCCTAAATTCTGACCCCTAAAACCCCCAAACCCTGAACCCTTTATAGATCCCCGTAAGGAACCTTTTAAGGCACCCTTCCATTATCCTTTCCAGGCACCCTCAAAGGGAACCCCACGACCCCTAAAGCCCCAAACCCCTCAACACCTGAAACCAGTGAACCCCTTATAGATCCCTTTAAGACTCCCAGAACCCCTAAAGCCCCACCCTTAAACTTCCAAAGGATTTCTACCACGGCAGCCAGCTGGAGGCAAATTTTGCCGAAAATTACCTAAGCCCCTTGAGCAGCTTACAGGGTTCAGGGCTTTAGGGGCTTTAATGCTTTGATGTTTTAGGGTTTAGGGTTTCAGGGTCTTAACGCTTTGATACTTTAAGGTTTACGATTTTAGGGGCTTAATGCTTCACTGTTTTAGGGTTCAGGGTTTAGGGTCGAAGGTTAGACCCAGGTGTCCTGGGTCTTTGTAGGCAATTTTGTCATGGGGTGTTGTAGGGAACTCAATGGTTTCGAGGATCAGGGAACTTTGAGTGTACCTCACTGGTAGGCTGGCCACACTCACCACCTCACGCTCAGCCGTAGTCCAGAACTCCTATGCATCTTTTTTCAACATGTCGGACGACGTCGACGATCCTTTCAGCCTGCCATGTGCTTTCTCCGGCCCAGGAAAAGCCTCTTTTTGTTTGAAGCCTAGACAGGTTTAGAGTTTTGGGTTCCAGGGATTGGACTGTTCAGGATTGTTTCTTGGTTGGTTAGTTGTGGAGGTCTTCGCTCGTCCAGAACCAATGAATGCATTTCGTGAGATAGCATTCAGAGCTCTTGATGATTTTTATGTCCAAAGGTCACCTGGACATTGACACATTTGACGAGATATGATGCTGTCACTAAATATGTCGCATGTGTATGTGTTTCTTACGCGGCACAGTAACTTGTACTTGTAGACCTGCCCATAATTCCTAAACCCTAAACCCATAAACCCATAAACCTTAAAGCGTAAACCGTCTGGTCACAGGCAAGATTCACTGCGGAGCCGCAGAGGCTCACCAGCACCCCAGGCGCACCCTTAGCTCGTCTGCTGGGTGTTTGGCATGTTTCTGTATGACCGGGGGTCCCTAAACCCTAAATCCTAACTCCCAAAGCCCCTACACCACCTAAGCCGTACTTTCGTAGGGTTTTAAGGGCCTCAGGCTTTACGCCCTCTACCCTGGCTTGATCCAGAGCAGCCGATAACTTGGAAGGGCCGCTCGGATGGAGCGGCCCCAAACAGCTCATTGAATACCAGGTTTCACTCAAGTTGCAGAAAGGTAAGACCGAGATGAATGAGGACATCCACACAGACAAAGGCACGATGATCACAGGCACATAGAGCAGTACAGCGGCCAACCCAAATTTACTATGTCAGGTAAACGAGAAGTGGAATAAGTTAGAAGGACAGTAAAGGACTGGCAAAGACAAGGCAGGAGGAAGGCGAAACAAATTGTAATGGATAGATTGCAATCTTCAGCGAACTTAAACATACGTGAGAACTACTGTAATTAATCACACCGCTTTACCTTCACTGTGGCTTCGTTGTACCAAATTCCGAGTCCTCCACCGCCTTTATGTTGCGTTTAATTCACCTTCTGAAAGCAAACGATGCTAGTGGATGGTCTATATGGTTGTGCGGCGTTTTCTCCGGACTGTGCATGTTCAATCAGTTTCATTTGCGTAACCTTTCCAAACTGAACGCTGTACCTGACCGTAGTTTTTTGCTTAGGGTTCTTTACCTTCACGAGCTAGTTTTAGCCATGCATCTTTCCATTTACATGCCATTTCCTTTTTGCCACTGACGGCCGCCTTTGCCTCTATGGCTCGTTCCCTCTATTTCGGCCGTAAACCCGTTGGCCAAAGTTCCCGACGCCGAAGATCGAACTCAACGAACATATCTCTGAGCCATGTGCCGCACCGACGGTCTCGAGTTTTGCACGAGCTCGAATTGGGCTCGTCGAGATCCGGGCTTTCGAGAATTCCACTGGGGGTAGCAGCGTCCGTTATTTCTGCCGGAAATGCCGGTCGCCACCTGCGCTGCAAGCCTGAGTCGTGGAATCTGCAGAATCCATGGCAATGAAGCGGTGAACCCAAATTTGCGACAGGCGTCCTGTGCTCAACTTTGGGCAGTGCTACGGATGCTTGGGTCCACAGGACGTGCAGAGCCTGCAGTGTTTTAGGGTTGAGAGTTCAGGGGCTACTGTCTGTGGGTTCTCTACGGGGTCTAGGAGGGGTTCGCAGGGTTTCGGGTTTTGAGTTGAGACTTCCGACGACTCTTTGCAGCTGGTTTGTAGGGTCTGCGTCCTCCTGTGTGCAATTCGCGAGAGCTCGCATGACATGGTTCGCGCTACTGACTGTCGAACCGGTCGGGCGTGTATGACAACACTTGCCAAGTTTTCTAGTGAAAACTGCCAGGAAAGTCGACTGGCTTGATATTATTGGGGTCAAGAGTCAAGGGTCCCCGGTACGCAATGTTCTGCCGACCTCACAAGACAAAGTGAGCACAAGGAACTGTTAGGAATTTGGGTAGAGCCGGCAGAGCAGTCAAGCAAGAGACGATGTTCGGCATACCCAGGCTCAGGAAGCACATGATCGAAACTTCGGAAACTTGTGAGGCGCGACAACACCTGGAGGAGACAGCAACACACTGACGCAAACCTCACCGGTTTGCAACGGTTTGTGAGGCTGACAGCACAAGCGAAACGTCAGAAATTCTCCTGAGAGCAACAGTATGTGGGGCTACCCAGCAAAACTCAGCGGCCTGAAATACGCCGAGTTGCGACAGTACAGGGCTGTACAACATGAAAGAACCGCCAGCAGATTCCAGGGTGAAGAGGGGCCCCAGAACCATTCACAGAACTAACACACATGATCACACATGTCAGTAGACTATTACTGGTTACCACGACACCCCCCCCATAAAGCCAACAGCTTGCGCCAGACCCTGAACCCAAAATCCGCCCGAGAAACTCGATTCTCCACTCCGAAGATTCTTCACTCGCAGGAACCGAGCCCGGGTATCTCCGCCGAGTGACGATGCAATCTTTTCCACCATCTGTGCAGGGCCAAGTCCACTTCTGGGGTTCTGAGTTTCGGATCTAGGGTGGTTGTAACCCTAAAGTTTCGGGCTGAGGGTCTATAGCTGTTTTTCATAACGAGGGTTGTTAAGTTACTGCGATGATAGTGATGTTATCTGACACTCAGCACCATCACCATCGTCATCATCACAAGCATCATCATCACCACCACCGTCGTTGGTGTCGTCACTCATTCTTTTTCATGAACCCCATAACGTACGAAGGGTTCATGGTCTGGGCATAGGATTGGATTTCAGGTGGTTCAGTTTTGGCCGTACAACCAAGCCTGAACCTAAACAGATGTTTAAAGTTTATGGTGCCGCAGAAGTTATAGCGCATGTCGGCAAGACCTCCTACAAACGACATGTGAAATGCAGGGCGCTCGGCATTATCCTTGGAAGAGAGCTGGCTTCGCTTGTCCGAAATTCAGCCCCTTCTGTGGGCTGCAGGGATCTTTCGGCCGTGCTCATGTTCTCAAGGGATGCCGGAACATGAAACGGACACTGGTCCCTCCATCGTGACCCTAAACCCGAAAAGCTCAAGAGTCGCGAATCCTTAAATTTCTAGGTAAATCATTTTAGGCCCTGCTCGTAGAAGCCTTTGAACCCAGTACCCTCACCTTTGCTCTTCTGTGGAAACATCGTACCCGGAGGTTTTGTACGGATATTAGCCAAGGCCCTGAACACAAAACCCTAAACCCTCAACCCTAAACCCTAAGCCCAAAGTCTCTGAAGAGTTGATGCTCTGGCGATCCCAGGTCGCTCGGGCTCGCCTCAGCAGGCTTGGAGGGCATTGTTTGAGTTGGGGTTTCGGGTTTAGGGGTTTTAGATGTTTTTAGGGTTGAGGGTTGTTTCAATTAGGGTTTCGGGTGGGTTTGGGTTTTCAGGGTTTCTGGGGAATTGGGTTTAGGGTTTCGGGTGTTCGGGGGTTGGTGTTTCAGGGTTTCGGGTGTTTGGGTATTGGGTTTAGGGGTTCAGGTGTCGGGTTTAGGGTGTATAGTGTATGGTATTGGGTTGAGGGATGAGGGTTCACGGAGCACGTACGTACGTAAATGTGTACGTACACCTGCGTGAGGAAAAACGTTGTACCGAGTGAAGGATTGGCGTGCCATGTGTTTGATGTGTACGTGGGACGCAGGTGGCTGACACAAAACAAAGGCCTTCAATGCGGCCCAATACCCTGTACGAGCTTTGTAAAACACTTATTCATAAGCGCGTTCAAACCTCCAAGAAGCATTCAAGAAGCCCGACTCCGGGCAGGTGCACAAAGGATTCAGAAGGCCAGCCCCCCTAAACCGAACAACCCCATTCAAGTCTGTAGCAGAAGCACTCGAAAAGCCGAAGTTGTCGTGGACTCCGTGAATCACGCAACCGAACGCCCACTCAAAAGCAACCTGCAAACCACAAGCAAACCATGCACAAGCACCTTAATGCCCGTAAACACCCGTGGGAGACCTGAAGAAAACTGAACAATTTGAAACCTAAACCCGACACCCCGAGACCCTAGACCCTACACCCTAAACCCTAAACCCGACACCCTAAACACTAAAGCCTAAAACATAAAGTCTTAGACCCTACACCCCTAAACCCCATACCCCTAAACCCTGAAACCCTAGACCCCCTCACCCCTCCCCAAAAGCAGCAGAGGTGATCGAGCCACTGGCCGGCATCCTTAGGAGCCCCCAGTATCCCTGCAGGCGAGGCTTCCTGTTGCGCGACTCTTGGTGGTTTAGGGTTTGGGGGTTTAGAGTTTAGGATTTAGGGTTTAGGGTCTCATGTTTAGGGTTTAGGGCTTAGGGTTTGTTGTTGTTGTTTCGGTCTAGAGTTTGGGACCTCAAAGAACTCACCGCTGCTGGTTTAGGGATTTGGGATTTCTTGTTAGGGAGTCTCGTGTTTTTTTGGTCGGGGTGCTTTGTTAGACGGCCTGGATTTGATCCCGTGGCGGTCAGGGAGTTTTCGGGCACAATTCAAGTTGCAATGGGTCTAATGGTCGCTCTGGTGTGTCTTGCCGGCTTGCATGGTATAGGGTTCGACTGCAAGTTTTCGCACCCGTGCATTGTAGCTTGCTAGTTTTACTGGTATCTTATTAGAATTTGGGCTTGTTGGCTTGCTTTGGGGGGTTTGCTGAGGGCCCGTCGCGTGGTTGGCCTGGCCTTAGGGGTGCTCGGGGTTCTGCATCGATTCTACTAATACTAGTATTGATACTACTAGTAATGCTAAAACTAATCAATACTTACACCAGTAATTGCCAGCATCTTGGGATATGATCTCGGTGTGGGCGGAATTGCACAGACTTGAGCAGGATTCCGCACCAAACCAGGCCCCCATCTTCGCATCCATTCCCGAAGTTCTACAAGCCTTCAACTCTGGACTGCCTGTAGGCCTTAAACTCCCGAATCAATCCTCCAGCATCTTGGTCCCTGGACCCTAAGCCCTTCACTAAAATAGCCTAAAGCCCAAATGCTCCAAACCCCTACACCCACCGCCCCGGAGGATGGCGGGTGCAAACGGAGGGAGCCAACGGGATCCGATGATGAATGTGGACTGGCTTGTCCTGGCCGACAACAGGCGGGGTTCTTGTTGTGAGATGAGCCCTCGAATCTCGGGGGTCGTAAGGCTGCAGGGACATATTAAGACTTGTTTCTAGAAAGATCTCCGGGAGCGGATTTTGGAATTCACGGGTTCTAACCTGAAGCCACGCCCCTCACCCCTTGAACTGCAAAACTCCTGACCCAGTGGAGCCTGCTGGTCTGTGTCCCCGCGCAAACGGGAATATGTACGTGTATACGTATCTATGGTTTTTCTAGTACCCTGTCTGACATAATCCGGAGAGGAGAGCCCGAATACAAGCCGCAAGTCCCTGCGTAGAGCGTCGCTTCAGCACCCATCGACGTTCTAGTCCAGCGCCGTACGTAGTAAACCTTATGCCTTATTTCGTAGCCGAAGATCCCACGCCCAAGGCGGTGGCTTCAAGGGTTTTAGGGTTTACGATTTAAGATGTTGGTTTTCAGGTTGGCGGGATTCAAGGGCGGCCTTCGCGTGTTTGGAAAAAGCATGGCACTCGAGAGTTTGACAGTTGTTTTTCTCCGGGAGAGTTGAAGCACTGTAGGATGCTCAAGGGAGGGTAGTTCGAAGGGTGCTTACTAGCGATCCCTAGGGAGCCAGCATAAGCAGGTTTCACGTCCCAGTGTGTCCCAGATCCTGAAGAGTTTGCAGCAGCTGTGACGGGAGGAGCTTTCCGGAGGGCATCAAGGGGAAGCGCATATTTTTCGACGCAGGCTGCTTGGAGTGGGGCAGTTCTACTGTTCTAGTTCAGGGTCAGAGTCCAAGAATTTGGGCAGAAGCTTAACATGCTGCTCGTCATGCTCGTAAGTTTGCTTCCCATCACATCATTTTTTGCCGGCTTCGTGTCTCGTGCGATCTTGAGAGACGTTGTCTTCGACGGCAGCCTATTGACGCTGTCCGACCGAACGCCGCACTTAAGGCCAGAATAATGAAAGACACCCCACTACTTACAGGATGTGAAGGACATGAGCGACACCGTGCTGCCAGGACTTCAATGCTGACCCCGAAGCCCTGAGACTATCCCAGTGATCTCGCCTCTTTTTGGGAGCAGCACGACACAAGCAAAAGCTTGAGCAACGCCCTTGGAGTCCAAGACTAAGGAGAAGCAAAAGAAGACGCACGAGACTGCGACAAGAAGGACAAAACAGTTCTGTAGCCTTCAAGCCAACCGACAGAGCAAGATGCAAGCAAACACCCAAGAAACAGCGGCCGTGGGTATGAAGAGGAAGGGCACCTGGCTCTGCATGAAGCCGAAGGTGGTTCGCGGTTCGCTGACGCCATGCGCTTCTTTGCCCCTGCCTATGAAGAGCGCGGGATTCCGTTCGACGAGATCTATGTACTTCGGCTTCATGGTTTAGGGTTTAGGGCGGTTTCGGGTTTTAGGGTCTAGGGCGGTTTCGGGTGTTAGAATTTAGAGTTCAGGATGGTTTTGTGTTTTTAGGTTTTAGGGCGGTTTCGGGTTTTAGGGTTTAGGGCCGTTTCGGGTTTTAGGGTTTAGGGTTTAGGACGAGACCAGGGTTCTAGGATTCAGGATTTTTTGTGGTTTAGGATGGCTCGACTGGGGGCTTAGATGGGGCATATTGGAAAGTGTGATTTGGGGGATTAGGGTCTTTGCCCGAACTGTATAGTTCTACGTTGAAGGCACTCCCGGACCCTAGGCGGAACGCGAAATCCGTGTTTAGAAGTGAACAAAGCGGGGCTTTAGGGATAGCTTTTGGGGTTGAATGCGAGCGTTTGGGTGCAAGGGATATTAGGTGTTAGCTTTCAGCAGGGCTCGATGACTCAGATCAATAGACGGTGTGCAAAATGGAGATTTGCGAGCCTTACCATCCATATCATTTATGACATCAGCCTGGGCACTGTGCTTGAATTACGCTTTGATCGAACGGGGGATGCCGGAGGGTGGGAGGGATGCCATGTCTATCAATCAGGCAGTAAGTTTTCTGGTGACTTGATGGCTGTCCACAACAAACTGGAGAAGCAAGGATCACAACAACCAGCCCGAAATAGCATGGCAGAAGTATAAACCCCGAACAAGCTCCAAATCAGCCTGAAATAGGCTTAGAGGCTCCTGTTTTGCTGTATCGTACTTTTCAAGCCCACCTTTGCCTCCAGAACTCACACGAGCTTTGTTTCAGAGCTATTCCCTGAACATAATAGCTAGCAGCTATAGAGCATTCATTACCTGTCGTAAAGATGGCATTCCGCCATCCCTCGCAAATCCCGTAAAGCCCTCCTAGAACCCTGTAACAACCATGAGCCCGGCAGCATAAGAAAGCCGTAGAACTCGAACTTCCGGGTGTAGAGTTTTGGGTTAAGGGTTTAGTTTTGTAAGGGGCTAAGGTTTTTGAAAGTAAGTGACAGAGGCGGGAAGCCGAGAGTGGTCGCCTGCAGCCCGAGGGCCTCAGCCCTTACACGCCCTAATCCTACCAGAACGTAAACCACGTTCTGCGTAAGAAACCGAAACCCCGATCCCTTGCATCTTAAACCCGAAGCCCTAAACCCCTAAATCCTAAACCCTGAAATTTAGACCCTACAGACGGCCCAAGGTATGGGAGGCCATGCACCTGCCAGATGAAACGCATCGGGCCGAGTTACTTCTGTGGGGAGCCTTCGCAGGTGTATGCCTAAAGCTTAACTCCCGAACTCTAGCCCCAAAGCTTGAGGCCCTAAACCCTGAAAGCCTTACGCACCAATAGTACTGGAGACTTCGATATATTCAGACTTGAGCCGATGGTTCCATGCCCCTGTTGCCTTCAAGCGACGCCCGTTTTCCTCTCTACCGTAAGGCCTCAGGCCCTTTCCCTTTACCAAAAATCAGACAAAATATACTACAGCCATGAAGCCCTTGGCCTTAACCCTTGAACAAGTCTTGAAAACTCCACAGCCCCAACTTCTGAATCAAAGCCTTAAGCCTCCAACGGCCGGCGCTACAAAGTCTCTGGGATGTCCATCCAGAAGCACCCTGAGCCTAAACAAGCAACCCTAAACCCAAAACTCCCTGAACCCTGGCCCCGAAGCCTCATATCTCTTAACCAGCGGAGGTATTGGCAGGGAACCCCGGAAGCGGTTCGTAAGCGCTGGGAGTCTCATGTCAAGCGGCGCGGCCTGAATCGGAGACTTTGGGTTCTAGAATAAGTTATGTTAGGGTCCAGGGGTTACTAGGGGTTAGTCTCTGATTTGCTAAAAGGGTTTCGGGTTTCGGGTCTAGGGGATACTATCTGAGATGTTATAATTTACTTACGCCTTGATCAAACGATTTGGGGTGCAGGGTTTAGGGTTGCTGTAAGGGTTACATTTCAGGGGCTGTCAGAGTACTTGGTACCTACAGTAAGTCTCACACAGTACTACAACATATGCGGGACCCTTCAGTTACAGACTGCTCCAGTCTACACAGAAAGCCCTGACCCTAGGTTCGGGCTTAGAGTTCAGGGCCTGTGGTTCGGGATGTGGGGCAAAACGTGTTTTCTCCGGGTTAATGTTGCAGGCCAAACGATTGCAGTGGTGCGATCTTTGCGTCGCTCGTTTTAGCTCCGAAGCAAGCGAGAGTCGAGGAGTTCATGGATTGGGGCATGACTTACACCGCTATTCGACCGCCTCCTCAAAGACCGAGACCCAAACTGAAAACTCCTGAACCAGCGCACTCAGCCGCTAAACCTGCAACCCAAGCAGAGAGAGGTGCTCGTACCGAGTTTTGTTGTTCCGGGTATGAGGTGACAAGGCTTCCAGTGGCTTCAAATGCCTTCTGATTCTGGTTTAGAGGTCCGCAAACCCGCTGTAAGCAGTCTTTGGGGTTTACAGGGTTTAGGCTTTGGGGCGTACTTAGGGTTTAGGGTGGCTCAGGCGCAGGCAGTGAGCCTTTCTTGATATGCAGATTTGGGGGTTCCTTACTATAATTATATGCAGAATATGCACCAAAACCCTGTTCTTATTATTAAGGCCCTATAGTAGAGGTTCTACAGCGGCGTCCCGGTCACAGACGAGGCTCATGGGTTTCAGAGAAGTGATCCTGGCATCGGGGGGGCTCGCGGTTCGAGTTTCGGGGCCTTCTTGGGTTTAGGCGCTTAGGGTTCAGGGTTTAGGGTTTGAGGCTTTGGGCTTCGGATTTAGGTTTTGGGGCTTAGGGCTCAGGGCTTCGGGTTTAGGGTTTAGGGCTGGGTTAGAAGCAAACCCTGCATTAACTGGCTTAGGGCTTGGCCTTACATCTGAAGCCTTGTGCGCAGGCTTTCAAGAAGACCTTCCGTAGACAAAAAGTTGAAAACCGCCAAAACCCCGCCTTGACCACGAACATCCTGAAACCTATGCGGGCTTAAGCCCCCTCGCCATAATTCCCCAAACCCTACAAGACTTCACGCACAAGCCCGCTAAACCTAAACCCTTACTGTAAGCCCCTGAAGCCCCAACCCTGAACACTGAGCCGAGTTTCCAGATATTCCAGATGCAATGTCCTACGCCCACCCTACGCCCAACCCCCCACAGCTCAAAAAAAGGGGAGCCCTAAATCTTGGACCATACTGGACTCCCACTATCGCACGTCGCCAGGGCATACCCCACACTGAAATGAGAGTTTCCGAAAATAGGGGACCCTAATCTAGTACCCTAAATAGTAGGATCCTAATTATAAGGACCCCAAAATAAGGTTCCCCTAATTTTGGGAAGCTCCCAAATCTTGAGAGCCCCCGCTCCCAAAGGAGCGAGAAACCCACTTATACAACCAACCCTCTGGACCCCCATCAAAACACTGGGTTGTCCTTGGGATCTCTTTGATTTCCCCTACTCTTCTGTAGAGAACCATAACAGTAAACAATAGCTCTTGAAGGACAACTCAGAACCCCCAACAACATTCCAGAAAGACCACTCGGTTTTAAAGAAACACCGAAGAAAAACAATGATACTCTGTCCTTACATAAGGGACCCTATTGTTATGGAGCACCTAAACCCTAAACCCTAAGTCCAAAACCCCGAACCCGAAACCTTGGTTGGGAGCGAGAGGTTGGCTCCGAGAACAACCCCATTGCGCGGATCCATCAGCATTGTGGGCCCGATGCTGGGCCGAAAGAAGGGCGGGTTGAGACTTTTGGTTTAGGGTTGAAGGTCTCCGGTTACGGTTTGGGGTTCAGGGTTTAGGGCTCAGAGCCAAATCCATGGTTTTGGTTTAGCATCGAGGGCGGTTCATAGGGTCCCTATCAGGGCTTTCACAATCTTCGTCTCCTTGGAATTGTGGGTTTGGGTCCAGGGTGGAGGGGGTTTGGGTCTCTATCCCTGCCTTTTTTGCCGCGCGTGCTTCATGGTGCTTCTCTAGCCCCATCCTGTTTGCGGTTTATGTTTTTTTGTCTCTCTCCTCCCCCTTTCGCATGCTGCCGTGTGTGCTTGTTGTGCCCTCTCTGTGCCTTTATGCTGTCTGTAGCATATGTTCTTATTGCTCGCTCTGTTACATCCATCCTGTTTGCAGCGTATGAGCAGCGGTTGCTTGCTGGTGCTCTCTTTGCAGCGCGTGCTGCTTGGTGCTCTTTTTGACTCTCCTGTTCGCAGCACATGCTTTTAGATGCCTCTTCATACTAAACCCAAATCTGCTGTTTGCAGCGGTTGCTTCCGGTGCTCTCTACCCTTGTCCTATTCGGCCGGCCTGAATATTTAGCACAGGGAATTTGAGTTTGCGGGTTATATTTTACGAAGATAATCTTCGGGAGTCCTAACATGACATTTTTGACTACTCAGGCGCTTGTATGATCCCGACTCGGAATAGAACGAGTGCGCGAGTTACTATCGGATTATTATCGTAATCCCCCTCTTGCTGTCGGGAGGGTCGTCTTTTTGGTGGATTTGGGACGCAGGGTTCGTTGCATTTTTTGGATTTAGCCCATCTCCTCCGGTATTGAGGGTTCAGTGTTTTCAAACTTAAGCCTGACAGTATAAGCCCTCAAGCCACGCTTTAGATCCGGAATAGCTAAGTGTCGCCTTGGCGAGGGCCTTAAACCCCTAAACCTGCAAACCCCTAAAATCTGGGATCATTGCATTCCTCTCGCCCGGATCGTCCTTGCATAAACCCCTAAGCCCCAAAACCCTAAACCCTAAACCAAAACTCGTAAACCCAAAGCCGCTGGACTCAAAGCCTGAAACCTTGCCCAGGATGACTTCTGCTCTTTCAAGCTCGACATCGACACACCGGCACTTGAATGGTCGTCGCTCGGCTGCTTTTGGCTAGTTGGCTGAGAGCCTTCGGTTAAGGTTGCGGTTTGTGGTTTAGGGTTTGGGGTTCGGGGTTTCGGGTTCGGGGTTTCGGGTTTGGGGTTCAGGTTTTGAGGTTGAGGGTTCAGCGTTTAGGGCTTCTGGTTTAGGGCTCAAACTCTACATGTTGAGCTTCAAGTTTTGGGCGACAAAGATTGCCCCCAAAAAAGACTGCAGCAGGGTTTCATGGCAACATGAAGGGGTTTGGGGGTTTTTGGGCTGTTATTTTCAGATCCCGAGGATGGGGTTCCATAATGAGGGATCTCACGGAAGCCAGCACCTAAGCCTCAGGGTTTAGGGTTTTGTGGTTTGGGGTTTATGGCTCAGGGCTTATAGGGTATCTCTAAGGTCAGGAGGGCATCCCGACTAGGTTTCTAGGTTGTGCATGGTCTGGCATTTCGGGTTCGTGGCTTTGGGGGTCAGCTCTCCAGGAGTTTGGGGCGTCGAATGTATCCATGAGCTGAGATTTTTTGGGCCCACCATGCCCCTGACACAGGAAACCCATGAAGCGCACAACCCGAACCCTGTACCCCCTACCGACCTCAGGCCCGATCCACCTAATCCCTGAAACTCTGAGCTCCAACAGCCCCTGAGAGCCATAAACCCACACCCCTGAACCCTTAACTTAACCCCCTAAACCCCTAAACCTCTAAGCCCTAAACCCTAAACCCAAACCCCGTAGCTCTAATCCCCTAATCCCCTGAAACCCTAAACCCCTGAACCCCTAAGCCCTAAACCCTAGACCCAAACCCCGTAAACCTCCACCCAGGTTGGTGCAGCAGCTGCGGGCCGATCCCGGGCATCTCAAGGAATGCCATAGTTTCTGTTGGATCTTAAGGCACAGTGGTTCAAGGGGGCAGGGTAAAAGGGCCACCGTCCTTCAAGGATCGGTTTAGGGATATAGTTTTAGATGCCGAGGCTTCGTGGAGGTTTCGAGGGTTGTACGGTGTTAATGGAAGTATATCGTTGTTTTTTGCAAATTTGCTTAGAGGGTTCCTTTTGCATTTAAGAGGATCCTGTTTGTGTACTACTATCTACTACTGCTACTGCTACTGCTGCTGCTACTACTACTGGTGCTGCTGCTCCTACTACTACTACTACTACTACTACTACTACTACTACTACTACTACTACTACTACTACTACTACTACTACTCCCACTCCTTCTGCTACTGCTGCTGCCACTCTGGTTTTGACCTGCAAGCACAAACATGCCGCAGCCTTGGATGCCAAAATCTGCGAGGAGTTCTTCTTCGAGCATCACGTGCACGGTCTCATGGAGAAGATCTGGAAGGAGAGCCCCGCTATTGGGTTTCGGGTTTAGGATTCAGGGGTTTAGGGTTTCGGGCACAGGGTTTGGGATCTAGGGCTTGTGCAGAATCGGGTTTAGGGTTTAAGGATTTGTATTTGATTCGCTTAGGGCATTGCCGGTGTTTACGGCTCTTGGGGTTTAGGGGTTGTAGGGTTTGGGGCTTTAGGGTCTTTTAGGGTTTAAGGTTAGGAGTAGGACTTAACGGTGCGAATCCTTGGAGGACGAGAAGAGCTGGAGATTGACCTATGGCCCGGGGATTTGTGGAGGTCAGGCGTTCCGGACATTGGGGTAGCGGGATTGAAGCTTCCCGGTTTACAGGCTCATCCTACAGTCTGCTGGAACTTCGCTGCAACAACAGCCAGAGACACAAACGAATCAACATGTCGAGGCTATGGGGTTTGGGGTTTAGGGTTTCGAGCCAGTGGAAGAGCCAGAAGCCTTAAGCCTTTGCGAGGATGTGAATGGCACCATCTCTGACAGCTACGACGTGTTCGAAGACTTGCGTCGCCAGGGTGTTCGCGCCCACTCCTGGGTTTAGGGCCGTACAACGAAGGGGCCCTTATACCCTAGACTTTAAATACTGAGCCCTACACTCAACCCGAGACCGATCCGATTCATAGGCAATAGTATACTGTAAGGTTCCTAACCCTAAACCCTGAATCCTAATCCATAAGCCCTGAGCCCGAAACCGGGATCAATTGCACTGGCGCACTACGGACTTCCTCATATGCAGGTCTCTCAGGCTTCTATGTTGCCACAGCCAAGGTTATACGCCAAGGTTGTGCAGGAGCCCAGGTGTCACTACACTTCACAGGCCCCCAAAACCCTGAACTTCGAAGCTCCTATTCCCAGGGTTTAGGGTTTAGGGTCCAGGACTTAGGGTTTCGAGTTAGGGATAAAAGGGTCGGAATAGTAGCATTATTCTTCAAGGCTCCTTAGTATTAATATGATCCTGAAGTGTAGCAGAGACCCTGTTTTAATCGGTAAGGCCCCTACACTAGTGCCACAGGGTTCAGGACTCAACCCTGAACCCTCAAACCCTATCCCTAAACCCTAAATCCCTTTCCCTAACCGTAAACCTTAAACAAAACTTGAGCCCTAAATCGGGATCCCTTGAGCCCTGAACCCTGGAGAAGAACTTCAGGCTTCCTTACGCAGTCGCAAAACAGAAGTGGCGTTGAATTGCTCTCTCTCTCTCTCTCTGTCTCTGTCTGGCTGGCTGGCTGGCTGGCTGTTTGTCTGTCTGTCTCCCTGCCTGCCTGGCTGCCTGCCTGTCTGTCTGCCTGGCTGGCTAGCTGTCTGTCTGCCTGCCGGCTGGCTGTCTGTCTCTCTCTCTCTCTCTCTCTCCCTCTCTCTGTTTCTCTGTTTAGGGGTTAGGGATTTAGGGTTTAGGGTTTAAGGGGCTCTCGCTCTCTCTCTCTCTCTCTCTCCCTCTCCCTCTCCCGCTCCCTCTCGCTCTCTCTCTCTCTCTCTCTCTCTCTCTCTCGCTCTCTCTCTCTCTCTCTCTCTCTCTCTGTATTCCGGTCTTTAGGTCTCTTGCTGCGAGAGAGTATACATGCACCTTACCGAAGTGAAACGGGGAACTGAGCAAGTGACCGCCAGAATGTCAGTAACGTGAGACAGATGAAGGCTCCAAAATGTCATACGAGGAAATCCACACAAAATGCGCGATGTTCTAAATTATAATCATTAACGCCATGGGCAATCCGGGTGCTCTGTGAAAGGTCTATGCAGTGTGTGGACTTTTCCTGCCGAATACCAGGGTCGCAGCTTACATCTTGTCTTGAGATTTAGTGTCGCAGTAGGATACACGCTGTGCAATATTGGTAGGTAAAAACAACGATATTAAATGGGGGTTCTAATGCTCAAGCCGTTGGAGAAAGCAACCATGGGTCTACCACAAGTCTTATCGGGGCCCTTCCCCCCCAAGCACTACACCGCCTAAACCTTTATAAATCCTAAACCCCAAACCCCTAAAACCCAACCGTTAGCCCATAATTCCCAAAAGCCCCAACACGTAAATCCATGAGCCATCAAGCTTGAGGGTCCATTGGCGGAAGCCAAGAACACTCAACACTGCGCCGCAGAATCTGAGGTTGACGCCCGAAGCCAGCAATGTACCCGAAACTCCCACGACCTGTTACCCACGTTCCGGTTTAGGGTTCAGGGCATCCTAAACCCTAAAACCTGCGCTATGTCGCCCAAGAGCCGATGTACCATTGCCTCAACCTATTTCCAGCTGCGGGATGAAGGCGCGGGTCGTGTTACTGCTCAGTGCTGTGGCGTTTCTCCTGGGGCGAGAGGCATGCATGCCAGAAGTCAGAAAGGAGAGGGCTGTTGGGAGTAAACCTAAGCCCAAAGCTTTTGAACCATAACGACCCTCAAACCCCAAATCTATGATACCCTAAACCCTTGTGCCGAAACCCCTACCGCCTGAACCCTAAGCCCATGTCAGGACAGCCCCGGCCAGACGGCCCCGGCAGTGCAATTGGACCCAATGCCGCTCCGGAACGTGGAGTTGCCCTCTGCTGCACGATCTGAACTGGGCCTTCAGCCACTGGGTTCGGTTTAGTAAAGGTTGAGGTCTAGGGCTTAGGGCGTTTAGGCTTCTGAGCTTAGGGTTGCAGGCTTTGGGGTTTAGGGTTTAGGGTAGTAACTTACAAAGTCTTGACAAGACCGAAGGCCGGGCTTCAAGCATTTGGACTTGGTGATTGCGCATTGCCACAAGTCCCTTCGATGGATCGAAACTAGGTAGGGCTTTGGGACATTTTATATTTGCTCTTATTGGGCCAAGAAGAGGATCTTACCTACTATTATAACCCTAAACCCTACACCCTAACCCCTAACATTTTTGAAAGGCTTTGAAAGCACCTCCTAGGAAAGCTTCCTAGCTTCGAGGCAGATCTCCAACGTGACCGTCTTCAGTAAATGCAATCGCTCAGTGGATGGTGCCCCTGCAAACGCTCGGATCGCTCCTAGTCCCAAGTAGTTAGGCTTTTGGGACATTTGTAGTAGGTCCCCTTATTGGGCGTAAGAGGATCTTAATTACAAACACTTTGCAGAGGCTCTAAAGGGGCCCTCCTAGGTTCCTATGCAGAACGTCGGCCGTTGCGACCACACTTACGCACACTGGCTGGCAGAGCAAGGGCATCGAATACCGGCCGACCGACAACCCAGTGACCTCATCCTCTTCGTGAAGGATAACAACAACAAGTACCGCAGTTGGGCTTCAGTTGAGAAAGTTTACTGGCATTGGGTTTGCTTGTGTGTGTGCGCGTGTCCATGCCCTCATTCCGAGACTCCAATCTATAGTGGCAAGTGCTTTGTGGCAACGCATAGCCGAACAGAGTGGATTGGATTAAGTTAGAGTAGGTTCTCGGGCCATAAGAGCGCATGTTGGGCGCATAGCCACTTGTAGGAGATGCCAAGGATCCAAGGTTGATGTCGCCATTCCTCTCGATGACATGCTCCTGGAATGCAGATGGCATGTTTTAATTATCCAAAACTGTAAACCGCAAAGGATTTGGGTCCTCGAAGGAACCTTCACACAACTTGCCCTAAGCCGCCGTGCTCCTGAACCCCGAACCGCCCATACAGTCATGGCACGTTCCCTTCTTTTGCAGTCCTTTTCCTTCCCAAGCTCCAAAATCCTAAATCCCTTAAACCAACCGCACACACACAAACTCTAAGCTCCCTTTTTGGAGGGCTCGAGAACCGAGGATCCAAACAGCAACTGCTGGACCTCGCTTCGCGTGCGGACGTCGGGTCGAGCAGCGCCTCCTTCGTGATTCGGGCTCCTTGAAGGGCTCCTTAAAGGGTGCCGTTTTAAAGGGATCCTTCAACAAATCTATCAGGGGTTCAGGGTTTGGGGTTTGGGGGCTTCGGGTTTAGGGTTCAGGGTGTAGAGGTTTTTAAGGTCAGGTTCGGCTTTGGTTGAAGGATGTCCAGCTTTCGGTAGAGCCTGGGCAAGCCCCCAGACGCGGGCAAGGTATGATGGTCGACAAGGCAGCATGTATCACTTGAAGGAGGCCATGGGCCACTTTACTTTGAAGCAATATGCCGGGCATTCGCACAAGCCGCAGAGCCGTGAAGGACAGACTTTTCGATCTGGGTACGCATCGATGGTGGGCTGGATGGAGGCCATGGACATCAGTAGCTTCTTAGAAAATCAAACAGTTGTGCCTGTGTGCTATGGTGGTGTATTTCTGACCACGTATTCGCAGATCGCCAACCCGCCTCCAGGGGTTTGGGAGCGGCTAGAACAGTCCCTGTCGCGCGATGATAACATTGAGGAAGGACATTATGCCGAAAGGTCCTGGGCAGCCTTGCTGTCTATGCCACTGACATTGCAGCAAGAACTGGATGCCTTGCGCCGTGCGCATTTAGTTGAAGACAAGTCCTGGTTCCGGGGCATGATACTGGGTCCGCTGATTGAAACAACAACGAACGCCCCACTTCCAGATGCGAAGTCTTCTGCCGCCCCTTTGGCCACGTGATGTCCGCTCCGTGCTCTTCGATGCCGCGTGTACGCATCAGCTGTCTGGGATACGACGACGGCCCGACTGAAGTCGGTTTTTCCAACGTCACGGAGTAACATCTCCCCGCAAAGCACCAATACTGTTGAAACGGCGCGCTGCTAGAATTGATCCGCAGCGAAAGGAGCAGATGAGGAGTCGATGTTGGAAGCACTGAAGACTGAGGTCCAAGGCCACCGTCGAAGCGGTGGCAGCTTTTCTTCGGTGCAGAGGGACTGGATGCGATGCTCGTAAGCCGCATGAGTGGCAAGGGAGCGCAGGAACTGAGACACAAGGAAGTAGGCTGTAAGTTGCGAGACCTGTGTCTGAAAGGTTCGCATGTGCATATAAGCACATTGTGGAGGCATGATTGTGTAGTCGAGAGCAGAGTCAGAAAAAGTCATTGACGTCTGCGAAGCTTAAGTGCTTATTTAACCGCTTAACCATCCCCAAACCCTGATCCATAAACCCTAAACTCCACAGCTTACTCAAATATCCACACTGGTTAGATCTGGATGTCGGGGGCCGTGGAGGATGTGCCGCACGAGGAGTCTGGAAGCATTTGGGCACTAATACGGAGGCTTAGGCCTTACATGGGTAGGTCCCTTTTTGGGTATCCTAAATATTAGGTGCTGCATTTGTATTATAGTAAGGACCCAAAAAGGGACCCTAATATTGACAACCACCTACATCTTTGACCTCCAAAACACTCTTGTCAGAACTCTTTCCTCTTCAGGGGTCGTCGCTGGTGCTCGTGCAATTCTCATCGACTTTCGGTACTCACAGAGTAGAGCCGTGTCGTGCAGGTTTAAGGGTTTAGGGGTTCAGGCTTGGGATTGAGGGTCAAACCCTAAACCCCAGACCCTCAACCCCAAAAAATACCTTGGCTCGACAGGCAGCAAGATGGGCTCCGATTTCAGAGAGACACGTATTCCAACAGTAGACGCCAGATGGGCTGGAGAAGTCTCATCAAGTAGACACGCACATATGATCGTATACGCCTCTGCAGTCGTATGTACACAAGTCGGTAAGAAGTATGTAGAGTGGTCTGTAGTTACTACACAAAAACTCATCTACACATGTACACATACACAGAAGCCGTTCTGTCTATCTGCGGAGCCGGTTCGGGGTGCATCAGAGCCAAGCTTTGAAGGGTCATGTGGAGTTGCCATGGGCTGCTGGTCTTGGCAGCTGCGATACGTGGTGTTTATGCAGAGATCGCCTTAGGTGCGATCGCAGGCTGGACAATCGTGGACTCAGGGGAGCTCATAGCCACCATCGCAGCAATCATCGATTACCGGAAGCACTGGGATGCGTCTTTGGCTGCGCGGTTTGGCCCGCCTGTTGTGGACATCCCGGGTGGCGTACATGCGGACGGGCGGAATGTGTCGCTGCGCATCGGGACCTCGCACCTGCAGCCTGACGTGGGCTTCTGGGTTCTTGTTGAGGAACACAATTTACGTAGTTGAACTTTAGCCGCCATACTAGGCACCTATAGTACTTTATATGCTTTCCTTACCATGGCAACTCATCGTAATTTCCTCAGCAAGATCCCAGGCTTGGCAACGGCTTTGGACATGATGCTGGGCCTTGATGGAGCACCTGCGGCTTCGAATTAAGTATCACTGTTTGGAGCGGAGCTTTATTTTGGTGGTCCTCGAAACAAGGATCCTAGTATTTAGGGTATTAGACTTTGGAGCAAAATCGAGCCGGTTGTGATTATTATCATTGCTAGAGTCATTCTCATGAAGCTTCGTTCGGTGGTGCCGGAACCCTAAGCCTTGAAGCCTAAACCTTAAACGCAAGCCCTTAAACCCTAAGCCCTAATCCTTAAGCTCTATAGACCCCCAAAGCAAAGGCGCCGCCAGCCGTGGGCCTGGTAGGAGCCCGTGCCTCGTCGGTTAGCGGCCCCGTCGCTACGCTGGCGGCCGTGCGGCATGTGCCACAGCGCCCCGGGCTGCGCCAAGAGGGGTTTAGGGTTTGGGGTTTAGGCATTCTTTCTTCCTTGGAGCGGGTTTTGTGTTTAGGGCGGAGGAGGTTTATCTAAGCGGATGCTTTCATGGGGGTTCTGCAGCATCTTCCAGAGACTCCAGTGTCGATAAACCCAAAACCTCAATCCCTGATCCCTGAACCCTCAGCCTCAAAAGCATGGTCCCTTGTCCCTCATCGCTACTGCTCAAGCCCTGATCAGCCTATACCTACAGCCAAAATAAGCCAGACGCCCTAAACCCTAAAGCATAGGTCATAGGCCCGTATAACCCTACACCCCGAATAAGGATATCCCTGACACGGACCCTTCACCCTACGCGCCAAATCAGGATATCTTTCGGCTCTACCAACCCGGCTTTGTCCAACAAGGCCCCGGGTTGGCAACTTCCAGCAGTGACGGGGGTTAGCGGTTCAGGGTTCGGGGATGGGGCACCAGGGATTGTAGTTTAGGGCTGACTTTGAGATTCGCATTTTTGGGGTATATTTGGGTTTGTAGGGATTGCAGTTTAGGGTCTTTCTGGGTCAAGGGTTCGGAGTGTTCATGGCTACCTCAACTAGTCTAGTCTGGACTGAGGCGGTTAAGGGCAAGGTTTGGCATGTGAAGTTTTTGAACTGGCAGGCCGTTTATCCATACTTCCTCCGCGTGGTACCGCCGGACACGGTGCAGGGCTTGGCGTTGTGGAGCTGGATCCTGCATTTCGATGCGCCCTTGGCAATTTGCTTGTATTCCACGGAGACTGGTCATGCGACAGCAAGGTTTTTGGGGAGTTTCTCGTATTTATGACCTCGCCTCGCCCCTTGTGGTAGCACTTCTGATAGCCCTTGTAGTAGCCCTTGTAGTAACCGGTAAACCTTACGGGCACCATAAGTCCTACTTAAACCCTAAGCTACATCGCTGGAGGAGCCTTTTGGTCAGGGGCTCTTGGGTGTCATCGAGGACCGCGGGGCTAAGGGTCTGGGGTTTTAGGGGTTCGGGGTTTAGGGCCTACGGCATGGCAGGCTATATACATAAAAAGAATAGGATTTTGAGGTATAGTATGGTTTGTTCATACAAAGGAACCCTAAACAACAGCAATATATTCGGTTATTTTGTTAGGCTTCATCATCGGGACTTTGAAGGCTAAGTGTTTAGGGTCTAAGATTTCAGGTTTCAGGGTTTCGCGCCCTAAGCTTACGTCTTGGTGCAGGTTTCAGGCTTCAGGGTTTGGGGCTTCGGGTTTCAGAGTTGAGGATCTAGGGTTAGTGGGTCCATTAGGACTAGTTATGACTAGTTCTTGTTCTAGTTCCATCAGCAGCATCATCTAATGCGTTACTATGGCGTAGCGATTCCGGACAGTTCCCATACTTTCTCGATGATTTTGACGACAGCTCTTCCGCTGTTTCTGAGAGGACTTGGCACGTGAAGAGCAGCAGCCAGACCGCGTGACTGGGCTCTTAAGGAATTTAATGTAAGTTACCATAATAGGGATCTGTAGCACATAATACGGTTTCCTGATTACGGTAACTGAAGTTTAATTCATCCCTAAACCCTTAAGGAACCCGTATAGATCCCTTAAAGGAATCCTTGTAGATCCCTTAACAAGCACCCAGGTGAAGGGCCACGCGCTGCAGTACACCCCCCAGGGCATCTCGAGGGAGGACGCACGAGGGAGTTGACCGGAATCCCAAACCCAAACCGGAAAACAGCGCCCCATAAACCCTAAGCCCCTGAACCCTTACGCCTTGAATAAACTCTGAACCTCCAAACCCTCAAGCCTTAAACCCTAGACCCCTAAACCCCAAAGCCTAGACCCCGGATCCCAAAACTCCCCAAACCCTCTCGCAGGATGGGGCCAAGGCAATCCAAGAGTTGAAACTCCTGGGCTCTCGCTTCGTCATCCTCGCCCTCGAGCCTAGCATCTCGGTTCCAAAGTGATGTTTTTTGTGAGATTTGGGGTGGTTTTGTTTGTAGTTTTTTTTTTTGAGTTTTGAGTTTTTAGTAGCCTTTCTGGAGTTTTAGGCTTTTGGAGCTTCAGAGTGTTGATCTTAATGGTTTTTATGGTTCAGCTTTTTTTGAAGAGGGGCGGAGTGGCTCCGTCTTGAAACTCCCTAGCAGGAACACCGCCGTCTTTTTTGCTGGTTGCTGAGAACTTAGGCATGGCTTCGCAGATCATGCCGGTCTCCCGCCTGGTAGAGGGCTGCGGGAGTCAGTCAGGGCTTCACTTAGGGTTTAGGGTTGGGGGGTTTAGCGTTTAAGGTTGGGGTTTTGGGCTGCAGGCTTCAAGGCTTCCGGGTTTGTGGTTTCAGCTTAAAGGGATCAGAAAGGCACTTGCGGGAGGGTGACAGTTAAAATAATCCTTGTTTTGGCGAGGGCTTGAACTCCGAGCTATCGTTGGCGTCACAAAGTCATGGAAGTCGAACTTCCAGGCACTTCGTGTTCCTGTCAAGTTATTCATGTGTCCTATGATTGCTCCAGGTACTGCACAGTTGAATGACGAAATCCTGCATACTCTGCAGAAGCTATCTACCTTAGCTCTGTTGTGCCCAAAAAACTGCTGGCGTGTAAGAGAGGCAGAAGGCGCCTGATATAACAAGACCCCAAACTTCTAAACTCTGAACTTGAAGCCCTGCACCCTGAACCTTCAACCCTAGACTACCAACAACAAATACGACTGGGTGGCAGGCGCAAAACCGTGCGTATAACGCACACCCTTATGACAGGGTCCCAAGATGTCCACCGGCAAAGCCCCCAAACCCCGAGACCCCAAACTTTTCAGGAACCCTTTAAGGATCCCAAAAGCCCGCGAGGTCTTGAAAGATCAGGGTTTGCTCGGCCCTGGCTGGCAGCTGGCCACTGGGCTAAAGGGTCGTTCAGGGGTTGAGGGTTTAGGGTTGGTTTTAGGGTTTCAGGATTTAGCCTTTTGGGTTCAAGGGGGTTTCTGTTGCTTAGGACTTGAGATGCAGAGTTGGGGACGTCGAGAGCTGAGGGCGTTAGCGTTTGGGGGTGTAGAGCTTCTGGCACTCACAAGAGAAGAGCCCCAGAGCCCTTTAAGCTGTAAGTTTCTTACTTAGACCCCACAGTTACCCCGGAGCCCTTTAAGCTGTAAAGTCATTTAGACCCTAAATCTTTTTTTTGGTTAGTAGGGAATGGAGGAATGGGGTACAATTATAACTACTATTACTACACCCCGGAGGGACTGCAAGTCGAGCAGCGAATGCCATGGCCTTGAAGCACAAAACGCCCCCAGCGCACGAAGCCTGAGGAGTTCACATGGGAGTTTCTGAAAATGAGGGATACCTTGTTTGGGGGTTCTTATAATAAGGATCCTACCATTTAGAGTACTCGACTACGGTCACCTAATTTTCGGAAACTCCCCTTTGTTTAGGCTAGAGTGACCATATCCTGCAGCAACAGTCGTTTGCGGTGAATGCTGCTACCAAGCAAGCCCTACGGTGCCCGATCCTTCTACCGCTGCCAACATGTACGCGCTCATTACTTCTTAACGGGGCATCTAAGACGCTTTTGAAGGGGACTGAGGGATTCCTGACAATAATTCCTAAACCCTAAACCCTCAAACCCTGAAGCCCCAAACCCTAAACCCTCTTCTTTGCTTTGTTGGATTTGGCACTTCTCGAGGTGGGTACCGACACAATTTCTGCGACAGACCCCCTACTGCCGGTCGGGTTCCAGACGTTTCTTCCCTACGGACGCTCGCACGTGCATTTTGTCGCTTGGGTGGGGGGGTTCAGGGCTTTGCGGGTGTGAGGGTTACTGTTCGGGCCCTGAGCTCGAAACCGAAAGCTTTGGGGATTCGGGGGTTCCTGGTTGAAGGTTGAGGCCTGTAGCTTGTGGGATCTATGTAGAGGCAAGGCTTTTGGGCTTCGGGTCAAGGATGGCAGCTGAATGGTTTGGGGTCACAGTGCAACTTCCAGTGAGTGTCTTTGCTCTGTAGTCTCCAACCGTGCGCCATACAACTCATGCCTTTGAAGACCAGCCCTCACGAGAACCGAAGCGCCTGGGCAGTGTTGCATGAACCTTTGCCTTGGCTGACGCTGGCAGTCGAGGGTTTAGGGGCGTGTCAACGAGTATTTTCGCATCGTGGGAGTCGTGTTGGTGCCAGCTTCACATTCTGTTCTCTAGCCAAGATCTGTGCGACTTTTCGCAATACTGGTCATCAAGGCATCATGAAGAGTCACTGCAATTGCGTTAATCCTGTCCCCGGTTTTTTTTAGCCATTCTCGACCCTTTCGCAGAATTGGTGCGATTCCAAGAGCAACCGAGGAAAAGGCTCGCGGTTTCCCGATTTCCAGAGTTTCTGGTCCCGGCTGGTGCCCGAAGACATCATCGGCCCAGAGGCAAGGCAACCAGCTGGCAGTTGGGAAACTTCTTGATTTCCGTTGTGCTCCTATAGACGGAGCTTTGCGTAGTCGTAGGAGTAGTAGTAGTAGAAGCAGTAGGAGCAGGAGTAGGAATAGGAGTAGGAGTAGGAGCAGGAGCAGGAGCAGGAGGAGGAGTAGGAGCAGGAGCAGGAGTAGGAGTAGGAGTAGGAGTAGGAGTAGGAGCAGGAGTAGGAGTAGGAGTAGGAGTAGGAGTAGGAGTAGTAGTAGTAGTAGTAGTAGTAGTAGTAGTAGTAGTAGTAGTCATAATCACAGTCATAGTCATTGTCGGAGTCATAGTAATAATGGTCATAGCCATTCCCATAGTAGCCATAGTCATAATTCGTCATAATCATAGTCACAATCATGGTCCGAGTCGTTGTCCTAGTTATTGTAATGGAAATAGTAATAGCAATAGTGATAGCAATAGTAGCAGCAACAGCAACAGTAAGAGTAGTAGTATTAGTAGCAGTGAGAGTAAGAGTATTGTTGATAGCAAAATAATGAAACTAATAGCAACAATAGCGCAACAATAATCACACTAGCATCAATAACAACCATAATGAATAGTATTCTACAATAGCAATGACAACAATATCAAAATGGTAGGAGCATTAACGTGACAATATGAACCATAACAACAATATTATGTACATGTACATCTGTGTGGATGTGTGTATGTATATGCATCTGAATATATATATATATATAGACCTATATATATATATATATATACATATAGGTCTCTGTCTCTCTCTCTCTCTCTATATATATATATATATATTCAGATGCATATATATAGATATATGTATAGATACACATATATATATATATAACATGTATGTGTACATTGCATGTACATGTCTATGTCTGTGTCTATATCTGTGGCTATGTCCCTGTCCACGTCTATTTTTTTTGTCAGTGTCTATGTCTGAAAGCATGTATGTATGTATGTATGCATGTATGTATATTTAATGGTAGTAACGGCGACGAGAATAAGAACAACAACACCAGCAGTAGTGGTACGTAATAGTGCTAAGTATTGTTAAGTTTTGGCAGCAGAACTCAGGCAAGAGTATCGGCTGGATATGATGCAGAGGCCTTTGTCAGACGATTTCGTCATTGACGTCATGGCCGAGAACGCCGATGGCAACTCTTGGCAAGCTCTCGCCTTTGATTGTGTCTACTCCTTCCTAGTAGCGATCAACCAGCTCCTGCATAAAGGCCACAAGGAGAACGAAATTAAGGGGGAGTTGCTTCTCGAGGAGCTGCGAAATGCGAGATTCACCGGAGTTTCTGGGCGCTGAAGTACGCAGATGTCCTTTGCTTTTGAGTTGACTTTCAAAGGCCAGCGCTCCTTCCTTCTGGGAGCCGTTACAGAACAAACGTCAGGACTTGTTTCTTACCAGGGCTACAATAGACAAAATCACTGAACCGTAAACCCTGAATCCTCAATGCCTGGACCCTGGACCCTAAACCCCTAGACCCCAGACTCTAAACCCTAAGCCCGATATCTAACCCCTAAATCCGCTGCAGAAACTCGAGGTTTCCGGCCACATCACCTTCAACGAGGATGGCGATCGAATGGGCGAGTACGAGCTCTTGCGCCTTGGTCTGCTCGAGAGCTGGGGTTTAGGGTTTAGGGTTCAGTAGCTCCAGTTCGAGCAGTATCTAGTCGAGCTTGCGGCTTTGGTATCGGAAATCATCCCACCCACCCAAATCCCCGTAACAATCGTAAACCATATTTGCTTTCATTCTGAATTCCATGGCTCAAATCCTAAACCCTAAAGCCTAATCCCCCCTAGGGCTAAATCCTCGCTGTGCTTATGCGGGCGCGGCTCGCCAATGCCCGCGAAGAAATCGCAAAAGCCCACGAAGTTCGTAGGCAATGACGATATACCAAAGGCCACGAAGAAGTTGACTCACAATGATAACTAGGGCTTTGGGTTTACGGTTTCGGCTGGGCTTGGAGACGAATATGGGAGTTTCCGAAAATTAGGGGTACCCTATGTTGGGGTCCTTATAATAAGGATCCTACTATTTAGGGTGCTATACTAGGGTTCCCTATTTTCGGAAACTCCCATTTAGGGGCCTTAATCAGCAGATTAGTTTTGAGAGTTCCTGAAGTCTAGGGCCGATGCAGACTTTGAAGCAGGGACTAGGGTTGAGTAGTTAACATGCGGTTGTTGTACTACACAGTATGACTTGCCTGCATGCCTTCTAGCAGCCCGAAACCCTAAACACTATCCGTGAACCTCCAACCCACAGAGTAACCCCCGGTTTTGAAGATGTAGCCATCATGTAGGCTTTGGGGTTTAAGGTTTACGCGGGGTTTAGGACTTTGCAGAAACCTTAACTACCCTGTAGAACCATAAACTCTCTGCAACCTTAAACCCTTAACCCTAACCCCGAAAACCCTAAACCCTATAAAACTTTAAACCCTAAAGTCTAAACCCTAAACCCTGAGCCCCTAAACCCGAAACCCTGTAGAACCCTCAGCCCTAAACTCTACAACCCCTTTTTGATCCCTTTAAGAAACCCTTTAAGGATCCCTTTGAGGACCCCTGTAAGGATCGCTGGTATAAAAGTTAAGGAACCCTTGTATTAAACCCCCCAGGAACGTGCAACTGGGCAACTCCGGGTCTTTGGAAGCCTTGGGCGCCGCCATCTTCAGCGCGCAGACGCGGAAGTTCACCTTCCGGACTGCCCTGGTGCCTTCGTTTCGTTTTGGGAAGGAAGCCCCTTAGAGGGTTCCTTAAAGGGTTCCGCTGGGGAATCTTTAAGGGGTTTAGGGTTTAGGGTTTCAGGTTTAGTTTAGGGTTTAGGGTTTAATTGAGGTTTAGCGGTTCGGGCTAGGCATGCCAGCCTTCAGAGTTTCCCACTATGCTTGTAGTACAGTTTAAAGGACTGGGCCTAGTTGCCTATATTACACGAAGCCTGTATATGTCGAAGTAGTGTTCCTTAGCTTGTAGTATGTTTTTAAATTCCAGAAGAATCCTACTAATCAGGGTAGGGGGTGGGTTACAACTGCGTTTAAGGTTTCGGAATGTTAGGGGTTCCCTACTTCTATCGGTTGGAATAAGATAGACTGCTGAATAGACTCCCGCGTGTGACATGGATCCTAGCAGGGATCTTGACACTGTTGCTGCTGAAAGGGAAACCCGAGAGCTTGAGCTTAGGGCTTGTTGGTCAGGTTTGTTCCCGCTTGGAGTTCGGAAGTTTTCTGTTCTTCGTTTCCGTGGGTGGCTATGGGTCCGATGTTTCTTCGCCTGCATCGCCAGCTACAACTTGAATTTCTAGTATCAGTACTAGCACTACAACCCTAGGCCTCAGCCAGAAGCCGTCACCCCAAACCCTAAACCCTAACCTCCCAAACCCTAAACCTGAAACCCGAAAATCCTAAACCCCAAGCCCAGCGGCACAAAAAATCCCTCGACCCTTACGCTGCCCTGCGCCCTAAGACTCCCAGCAAAAGTTTTGGATATCTTAGACCCGCAGCTCTTTAGTCCCCCTACAGGAGCCCTGCAAGGAGACCTTGAAGAAGCCTTAAACCCTGAAGCCCTAATGCCCTAGACCCTAGAATCCCGTAGGATCTTAAGCCCGAATCCCCAAACCCGGAAACCCTAACCCCCCAAAAAACAATTTAAACTCCTAAAACCCCAAACCCAAAACCCGAAAACGCCAAACTTAAAAAGGTTTGGATGGACGGATCCACGGGTGAGCTGCCACCAGAGAGCCTCTCGGCGTGCGATCCCGGCTTCTACAAGGCAGCTCGGCAGTTTTAGAGGGGCTCTGGGTACAGGCGCCGAAATAGTCACCTACAGTACTTGGGGGGTTCCTTTTTATCGTCATTAGTATAATATAACTCAACACCCTATTCTAGTTGGTAAGGCCCTTAGATGATATGGGCTTCTAGGTTCGTTTGAGGACTCCTTTGAAGGGTTCCTTAAAGGCATCTCTAACGCGTTGAGAGGTTAGGGGGCTTCATGGTTCCGGGATCCAGGGTGAATATAATGAATACAGGGATTCGGAGATTCGGGGTTAAGGGCTGAGCACGTAGGGTCTGAAATGGGCTTTATGTCAAGGTTTGAAGGGTATCCAGGTTCATGAGATTTGGTTAAATTTTGAAATAGGGTTTGGCATACTTGCAGCCTTGAGCCCTAAACTTTGCACGCTGCTCCTTGACACAGTCAGTGTTATATCAACCCGAAGCACCAATTCGTAAATACCAGAGCTTCAGGGTTTGGGGTTGTGGGGCATCTGAATGATCCTTTGAAGTGGGGTACAATTACATGAGACTCTTGGACCTTTTAAGCATTGTTGAGTTTGCATTTTGGTCTTATTGGGGGATACTCACCATAAATGCACACCTTCATCGATTCCATCGAAACATAGCGAACCTACAATCATTGTTGCAGAGCGCGCAGGGTCCCCACCTAGAGGAACCCTTTCAAGTAAATTAGCCTGGAGGCTAAAGCACGAATGCCCTCAAACTTAAGCTAGGGTTTAGGGGTTTTGGGGTTTTGGAGAGCCAGTAGCAGCTTGACAATTGCAGTTGGAACAAAGGGACGCCCAAAACCACTCAAGCCCCTTCGGTAAAACCGCCGCAAAGCCCATCCAAGCATTCCCCTAAGCCCTTGGGACTCTAACCCACCCGAAGCACCCCAAAACAAACATTTATTTAAGCCCTCAGCCTTGAAGCTTAACCCCAAAATGCTCACATCTAAGACGTCGTGGGTTTTCTTTACAGAAACCGCAGAGAGCTCAGCGCAGGACGAGACCCAGCAGTGCAAGATCTGCCCGCGAGGATGCTTTGGCTTAGGATCTGGCTTTAGAGCTATAAGGGTGTTTTCAGGAGAGCTGTAAATAAGGTCTTTATACTTTTTTAACAAGGGGACTTATCGTGATACGAAGGTTCTTTTTTTTTGTTTTGCATGGTTTCACAGCTTTAAATGGGTTGCACAGAGCTTTAGAAGGCTTCCAGAGGCTCTCTGCAGCTGTTCTGTGGAGGTTAAGAAGCGTTGCTGGGGTGTTAGAGGACCCTGACGACCCTAAACCCTAAACTTGATACCATAAACCCTAAACCCCAAACCCTACACCACGGCCTCGGGTGGTTACTGTTTAGGGTTTATGGTATCAAGTTTGGGTGGGCAGGGTTCTAACAAAGTCGACTCGGCGGTTCGGCGCGCAGTAAGGAGGACGCCGTGAAAGACACCGAGACGTGACCCCTGTAACCCTAAATCCTAGACCCTGAACTGCTGTATGTCTGTGAAAGAGGCCCTCGAAAAGGATGAAGCCATTTCCTGCTACGCTTCCCAGGGCCCCGAAAAGGAGTCATAATTTGGAACCATGAGACCGTAAGCCCCTAAGCTAACATTTTTTTTGCAAGGCTGTAAACCCTCAACCAGAGAGCCTGCAACCCAGGGAGCACCCGTGTAAACGCAAATCGAGCCCGTCATACACTCATAGCCTAAACCCTAAGCCCGAAGCCCCGAAGACTGAACCGGAAACTTGGAACTCCAAAGCTTAAAGAGCTCTCAGGACCCCTTATAAACCCTAAACCTTGCTTGAACCCCAAAGCCTAAACCCTATAGTACCCTTATAGATCCCTTATAGGAGCCCTTGTAGTTCCTTTAAAGGAACCCCCAAAGCCTAAAGAGCTCTTAGGAACCCAGTGCCCTGGCGGCTCCAGTGGTCTGGCCACGTGCCCCAGAGGGGCCTTCGCCAACAGCACTGGGATGTCGAATTGCACGCTCTGTCCCAGAGGCCGGGTCTACTTTAGGGGCAATACCATTTTTGGGGGGTTCCTTATTATAGTTATAGTGTAGTGGGCCCCAAAACCCTTTGCGAATTAATTATGCAGGGCCTTCAGAGGCCGGGTTCTAGGATGGTTTCGGGTTTAGGGTTTCGGTTAGTGTTGAGTTTTAGGCTGTGTCCCAGAGGCCGGGTTCTAGAGTTCTACCTATACTATTCTTATGCTTCCTTTTTCGAACTAATTATTAAGGCCCTCATAATCGAGTTCTACAGGATGGTTTCGGGTTTAGGGTTTCGGTGTAGTTTTGAGTTTTAGGCTTGGGGGTCTGGGGATTAAGTTTAGAGTTTTTGGCTGTCTCTATGTCGGTTAGGGGTTGAGGATTTTCAAGGCTTAGGGGCTCCAGCCCTTTGTGTCAAAGTTCAAGGTTTTGGCTGCTTCCACGGTAGAAGTACAAATGGATCTTCTTGGGTAGGGCGCAGGGTTTGGGTTCAGGGTTGAGGGGTTTGGGTTTTGTGGATTTTGGTTCTAAGGGTACAGGTTTCTTGATGTGAACCCCCGACTCTTCTACATAGACCACGTCCGAGGTGAAACCTGGAAGCCATGAGGTGAGGAACAGTTACCAAAACCGTTTCGAAGCCTGATAGAACCTGTATAACGTAACACCCGAACTTATGGAGCAGCTACAAGAACCTTATTCAATCATCTTCAAACCCGAATCCCTAAACCCTGTTGAATCGCTATAAGCCCTGTCATCTCACCTAATGAGACCTCATAGACAGCCTGAAAGTTATACAGCCACCTACAGACCCTAAGCCCTAAACCCTTATCTTCTGAGGCACCTTCGCCAGAGATGTGGGCTCCTTCGAGTGCAGTCCTTGCCAAGAGGGTTACGAAGCCCCTGGCATGGGCTCAGAGACCTGCACCAGGCGAAACCCTAAGCCCAAGCCCTAAGCATGAACCCGAAGCCCTGAACCCTAAAAGAAAGTTTGATAAGGGGCTGATAAGCATTTTTATGAGGGGCCTTCGGGCGGTCGCGATTTCTTTTCGTGAAAATAGTAGTTTTTGAGAGGGTTTGTGTCAACTTCTACAGCATTTAATTTTGAAGGGCTAGAAACCTGTGTCAGGTCCATTTAGGGCACCTAGGGCTTGGGGTGTGGGGTATTTCGAGCTTCGAAGGTTTCGGGTTTCGGGTTCAGGCTGGTAGATTTAGGGCTAGAGTTTCGGGCTTAGTGCAATTACAATGGTTTGGGTGTACCACGCCCTTCGTGTGTATCATGTCTGAAGTATTTGTAGGTTTAGTGTAGACCCCAAACCCTAAAGCCTAGAATTTCGCGTTTGAGGTCAGGAGGGTTTCCGTTTTGCAGTCTACGAAGCCTTACAGTAGGGTCCATACGTCGACAAAGGTTTCAGAGCCTTTCGTGACTGTTTGTTTTAATTTCGGGTCACTCTCATTGTGACGGCGGAGGGGGGGGGGGGGGGGCATTACGCAGAAGGCTCCTAAACTGAATCCTAAATCATAAACCGTACACCGTCATGTAGCGGCCTGAAGCAAGGCTCTCACGTCGGGTCCTAAACCCTATTCTAGCTTGAACTCCTAGACCCGAAACCCGGAATCAAAAACCCTAGCCCCGACAGGTGCGAGTCTGGCAGTTACATGCCGAACACCCGGGGCATCCAATGCCTGGCTTGTGGCAAGCAGCAGATCACCCGGGAGAGCGGCGCGGAGTCGAGGGACGACTGCCTCTGTGCAGAGGAGAGACCCAAACCCCAAAGCAGCCTAAAATGCTTAGACTCAAAGGCCAAAACCCAAGAGCAAGAACCCGAGACTCTGAAGCCCTAAAGCGTCGAATCCTAAACCCTAAGCCGAACAACTAGAGCCTTCAAGTCCTGCGGTCATAGATTCTACAAGCGACGGTGTCCCCCAGAAAGCAAAGACTGTTCGTGTCCGCTTGAAGGTATACTTGTATACTTGATGTCGTCGGAAAGGAAAGGAATATCGAAATAGACGGCTGGTCCGCAGGTCAAACAAGACCCTCAAACCATAGATAGGGGTTTAGGGGTTTAGGGTTTAGGGCCTTATGTCAGACCCTATAGAACCCTGTGACAGCCTGTTTAAACCATGTAGAAAGCCATCGAAATCTCAGAAGACGGGGGAGGACACCTTCATGTGCGACAAGGGCTTCGACGCCGGGTGCAAGGGCTGTCCGGACGGCCTGGACTGCCCGGCGCTGAGCACTACATTTTAGCACCAGACGCCCTTGATAATACAGACTTCAGAATAATTACCAGCTAGTCCTTAGTCCGGCTGTCCCTGAGTTTCAGTCCACTATGATGCGCCTCCAAAATCCTAGGCCCCTGTAACCTGTAGTAGGTGATACAGAAAATGCGGAATCCGTCACTAAACCCCAAACTCTGTCAACAACCTTAAACACGAACCCCTAAACCCCTAAACCCTAAATCTGAAACCCTAAACCCCAAGCCCTCAACCCAACCAAAGCGTAGCTCGTAAGGCCCGGCGGGCCTCGAGCCACCCCTGCAGCAAGCGGGATACTGGGCGGACCCCGTGGCCTTCATGGATTCCAGCACCTGCCGCTGGCTTCGTGTTGAGGAGCTTGATTCGAGTTTCAGGGTCGAAGTGTTTTTAGGGTTTAGGTGTTTAGGATGAGCGTAAGAAAGAAAACATATATCATTTGCTATACATGCCTGTTCTGATAGCTTACCCTAAACTCCAAAACCCAAACCCTTTAAGCCGTAAAGCAGATCAGCATAAGCATTTTGCAAGGATATTCCTACCTTATTGGGCTTCATTGTTTGGAGCCCTCAACCCAGGTCATGCATCAGTCTTGCGCTGCCGGAACAGGAACGAGTGTCCTGCAGGTGGGATGACCAGGTTCTTTGGAGTCAGGCGTTCTCCTTACTTGGGGGTCCTTGTAGTCAGCATCCTACTGCATTTGGGGGTTTCGTTTTTGGTCCTAGCAGGTGCCTAATTCCATTCAACATCCTGCCGTTTTTTGAGTGGGTTTTACTAGGGTCCTCTGTTCTGAATCTCATGATCGTTTCTGCATGGTTCCATTGCAAGTCCAAGCTCCTCGCCTCCTCCCTGTCGGCACTCCGGACGCCGCGGTGCCACGCGGATTGTTTTCTAGGTCATTAGCTGAGTATCCATCCCTGTAGTCCACACGCAAGTATGTACTGTACTACAATATTCGTCGAAACCCTGCTCTACCCGTTGAAGGAACGCTTTCAAGAAATCTTAGAAAGATCCCTTAGAGGAACCCTTTCAATGAACCCCAGGGGGCCGAGACATAACCCGGAACCCATCCAACCCCAATACTGAAGGGCTTAGCTAAGGCTCAAGCCCGAAACTCCCACAAGCTTAACGCCCTAAACCTCAAAACCCCTAAACACCGCCAAAAACCCTGAAACCCTAAACCTTAAAAGCCCCGCAATGCGCCCTTCTGTCCGACATGGGTCTTCTCTTTCTGCTTTAGGGCTTCGCAGGGTTTAGAGTTTAGTGTTAAGGGCTTAGGGTTTAAGATTTGAAGTATTAAGGGCTTATGGTTTACGGTTTGGGGTTCAGGCAGGGCCTGAACCCTACCTGCTCCAGTAAAGGCCCATGAAAAGGCCATAACAAGTGATCCGAAGCAGCCTAAATGGAGCCTAAACCCTGTATCCAAATCACAGTTTAACAAACAGACACCTAGTCCCCTGCAGAGCCCCTTTGCACCCTATAAAGGGCTATAGCATCCCAACCGGCAGCTGGGTCAGGCGCGCTGGGCTTGTGTGCCAGCGGCAGGGAGGGTTTGGCCTGCAACAACTGCCAGAGGAGCTGCAGGGCTTTACAAGGTCTGTAGGTTCTGCAGGGGCTGTTATCTGGGCCAGAGGGGCTTTAGGGTCCGGGGCTTCAAGATTTAGGGTTGAGGTTTCGATTTTTTGTTTTGCTTTGCACGCTTGTGATTTGGGGATAGGGTTTAAGCACCGAGTCCATGAGGGCCCACGAATAAGGAGGAGAAGGTTCAGGGCTTGTTCCAATTCTCGGTTTTAGGGTTCAGGGTTTAGAGTCGGCGTTCAGTAGGGTCATGAAGGCAATCGTTGGCTTTCATGATATGTCAGGGTTTAGGGTCGGAGGTCATGAGGGTCGCTACAGCTTCATGATGTGGTGCTATTCCCCGAGTCCCTAAACCCTTAGCCCTAGACCCTAAACCCCTGGCACCCTAAACCCGAAACCCGAAGCCCTAAACCTCAAACCCTCCCGGTGCGAGGAGCCATTACCCGGTGGAGGATGGGCCGGACACGGGGACCTGCCAGCCCTGTGGGGAAGCTTGGCTTCAGGTATTTGGTTTAGGGCTGCTTTTGGGGGTTTAGGGCTTAGTTCCGGTTTACAGGCAGGGTTTAGGGTTTAGGATTTTTGTGTTTAGGGCTTAGTTTAGGTTTCGAGGGCTTAGGGTTTATAGGGTTTGGGGCTTAGGTTAGGGTTAGGCTTGTCTAGCACCCTAGAACCCCTAACATCAAACGCTTAAAGCTTAATGAAGCCCAAAAGCATGACGCTACCAATCCCGAACTGAAACCCTGCGTCCTTTTGAGCTGAAGCCTCAATCCTAACCCACGAACCAACCTCCAAGCCCAAAGCAACATCGGGTTAAGGCTTAGGGAGTTTAGGCTTTAGGGTTTAAGGTTTATTGTTTAGGGTTTAGGGTTTTAGGGTTTTAGGGTTAGGGTTACCATACCACAAAAAGCAGCCCTAACACACTGGGAAGGACGGTGATGTCCTCCCGGGCATCTTGCTGATCGTCTTGGTGCCTCTCTGCCTCGTGGCCGTCAGCACGATGAAGATGGAGCCGAGCCAGCTGAGAGCCTAAGCCGCAGATTACTCCGCAGGGCTTCTGTAGGATTTCAGAAAGGTTCTATAGGGTATTACGACGTGTCTATCGGGGCTTATCAGGATTCCAGAAGGTTTTTGGGGTTTCCGGTTTTCGGGTTTCAGAGTTCAGTGTTTGGTGTTTAAGGCGTTTTGGCGGCGTGTTGTCAGGTACATGGCATTCAAGATGGGTCTGGTGATTGTTCTGTAAGTTTTCCAGGGCCATGTAGGGGATCTATGAGTGTTTGAGTGGTGTCGGTTTTAACATCTTGTTGAACGGCCCTGTGACGTGCAGAATCGCTATTGGAGCCTGACCGAGGAATGAAAGTCCAGGTGCCCACAATTGGGGTCCCATCATATGAAGCATGTGAGCAGTTTGGGTCTAAATTAAGGCCCTTCTTCTGAAGTTTCCGAATTTCCTGTGTCTTTACCGTCGAGCACACGAAGCTGGAGCTGTAAGGCTAGCGGCTAGACTTGGGATTTATCGCAGAGGAATACAGACCGAGAGCGATACGACAACAGAACACTCCGTCACAGCAAGGCATATGCTACTGGTTGATAGTAGCATCGGCAGACTCAAGTTTTTTTCCACTTGAGCCAGAAGCTGCGACATCCCAGCTAGCGATGCGAGGTTTCAACATGCTTACTGCGGCGGCAGTGGCGAGCCAGTTGATTGTGGCTATCCAGGCGTGGATTTTCTGGTCGTTTACTCCCGTAGATCCTAAACCCCTAACCCTACACCCCAATCCGACAACTTCGGGAACAGTAGATAATTACTTGACTAAGATTCAAGAATTGGGTGAGACACCTGGAGGAGTTTAAGCATGATGCTCACAGCCTATCACACCAACAACAAAAAGACCATCACAGTCACAAGCGCACTTCCGCCACGACAGCGTCAGCAACAACAACGAAGGAATAGCCAACAACGAAGGAAGCAGTGGGGGCGACAGCGACCGCATCTCCAAACAGGGACAGCGTCAGCACCATCAACGGCACAACAATAACGACGGCAGAAGCAGCCCCAGTGTACGCAACAAGCACCCCGGAAAATGAGCAGCGCCAGCAGCCACCACAACAAGACCATCACTACTGCCGCACTCCTGCTGCTGTCGTTGCCACTACTTACGGGTGCTGTGCTACGACTATGATCACAGTCAGCACTGCTACTACGATTACTTCTGGTATTAGCGCTGATGACCACGCCAGGAGGAGGACGACGACTACTGCTGCTACTGCCCCTGCCACTGCCAGTGCCAACACCGCTGTACTAGTGACTAGTGCCATGCCAATGCCACTACCACTACCAGAAACACTGTCACTTCCACTACTGCTACCAGTACCACTACCACTGCCAGTATCACTTCAACTTGCACTACTGCCACTACAACTTCTAGCTCGTTATATGGCGTTTTCAGTAGTTATGGTTTGGTCGCCTCCAAACCCGAAACCTCATGAAACCAACAGAGCCCGTAGAGGGCTATCGTAGAACCATTCGTAGCTCCTACTTCGACAACAGGCAATTGAAACGTGGTGCGTCCAGTGCAGCGACTAGCTGAAATCTCCGACGTCCGAGCGACACCCGAATTCCAAGACTCTGCTCAAGTTTTGGAAATTGGCACGCGGATTCTTAAGCTGCCAGCATTCCTAAAGCCGCAATCGCTTCCAACCCACCAACCTGAATTCCGAAAGCCCCAAGACTTGTGCAATTCCTGCTCAAAGCCGCACTTAATAGCCCTGCCCACGAGCTCACCCCGCTGATGAAAGTCTCTTGTCAGGCTCTTGGCTCCATGCAGTGACTTGGATTTTTCAACTCGAGGGTTGCCTTGCGCTTTCCTTAAAGAGCCTTCTAGTAGAGTCTCATAGGGTGTCTAAATGAGCCCTCTCAAGTAGTCGGTGGGTTTAGGGCCTAGGGGGTTTAGGGTCCGGGGTTAGGGGCGTCCTCAAACAGGTCCATATTATCCTTTGAAGTTTATGGGGTCTAAACGGGTGTTTGGACGGTTGAACATATATATTTAATCAGCGGAATGGCAGGGAAACACAAGGCCAACCAGAAGACTTATTGCTAAGGATACCTTTTGCTTACTCATCTTTAACCGCACTAAGTTCACCTTGGGGTTTTAGGGCTCTAGAAAGGTTTAGGGTTAATAGTGTGCCGCCTCAAACCGTTTTGAGGTCTAGGGTTTAGGGGCTTAGGGGCTTTAGTTCAGGGTTTGGGCATGCATTACATCTCAATCCCTAAACGGAAATTTCCACAAGCCTCACGCCACCAAAAACCCCGAAACATCCTGAACCTGAAGCTCGACTCCCTCCTCTTACAGAACTCTGTGGTACCTTTTAGGGGACCCTAATATGGGAGCTTCCGAAAATTAGTGGTACCTTATCTTGGGGTCCTTACAATAAGGATCCTAGTAAATTTAGGGTACTATATTGGGGTCACCCTATAGTAAGGAAGCTCCCTCCAAGGCAACTCTCCATCGAGTGGCAGCATCCGGTGAAAGCCCTCTTGGAATTCACGGAAACATGGCAGCCAAACCCTAAACCCTAAACCGATAAAACCCCTAAACCCTAAACCCCTAAACCCTAAACCCCTAAAGCGTGTTTTTATTGTTTGAGAGCGGGCGGCTTTAGGGTTTCAAGATGGCAATTTTTGTTTGATAAGGGTCGGTTTTGCTGGTTCTGCTTTTGATTAGGGTTTGGGGTTTTGGGGGTTCCTGGAAGGTTCAGGGGTTTTGAAGGCCCTTTAAGGGTTCTGTGTGGGGTTAGGTGGTTTAGGCTTTAGGCTTAGGGTTTAGGGGGTAGGGGTACATTTAGGGCTTTTTGTTCAGGGTCTAGGTTTTGGGCTTTGTCGATTTTTTCGGGTGGTAGGTTGATGGCAATTACTTCCGTAGTCGGTCTTCGAGGTGGAGAAGAGCCCCTCTTAGAGGGTTTAGGCATGTAGTTTTGGTCTATCGGGGGTGGAGTGGGTTTAGGGCAGCCTTGAATGCCTATTTGAGGGCAGGGTGGGTGGAGGAGGGAGTTGGAGCGGCGGACGGGGGTCATAGGCCCAAACCTTACACACCAAGCCCTCAAAACCGTGAAACTTTGGACCATATAGCAGCCCTTACAGCAGCCTTACGGCACAGCTCTACATTGCCAGGCTTCTACATCACATCGCTAGCTACTTGAGTCCTCGAGCCCCTAGAAGAGTTTAGGTTTAGGGCCTAGTATATTGGAAGGCTTCTGTCCTGTCGTGAGTGATCGGGTGACCTATTTCCGAAGGATTCTTGAGCACCTAAACATCCCAAGCCGAGTGAGGCCGATACAGGGTTTTTTAAGGGTTTCGGGTTTAGGCTTTAGGGGGGGGGGGGCGTGCTACACTAAAAGAATGATAAGGAGCCCGAAGGAATAGCATGAGTAATGATTCACACATCTAGAATTAAGCCCTTGGAGTCTCGCCCCGCATCCAGAGCAACTGAACTCCAGTCTGGGTTCTGCTTGCTTAAGCTACTATAACGAGGAAACGCAATTACGTTGTTTGATATTTCTGGCGACAAGAACCTTGACAAACCAAGGACATTCTGACCCTCGATTTCGACTTCGTCCGCATTACTTGCCTCTCCGGCTTATACTAGCAGTGCAGGGTCAAAGCAGTGGCAACATGAATGGTCAAAGGAGTGTAGTAGAAAGAACAACAGAAGCAAGCCTGCCAGTGCGAGCCATAGCATTAGAGAGGGAAGCCCAGAGTACGACGAGTGAAGCCACACTCGTATCAGCAGCACTGAAGATAGTGGCCGCAGCAGCAGCATGAATCGCAATGGGGTAGCAATGATCACAATCATGGTTCCCCAGCCCTCCACAGAAGTCAAGAAACAACCCTAGATCAGACAACACTCTGAACCTTTAAAGTCAACCGGAAAGCCTTAATATTCCCCTAAACCCTCAGGTCCTAAGCACTAAAAACCATAGAGCTTTCACCCCAAGTCCTTGCCAAGAGCCTTTTGAACTCCTTTCGACTGACCCTAGACCCTAAATCCCAAACTCTAAATCTCAAACCCTGATCTTTTGGTCTTGCGACGCGTTTCAAGGACGTCAGCAGTCGCAAAGCAGACGTGCTCAAAAAAAAATCCTCAAACCCTAAGCCCCTATATCCCAAAGCCTATAGACCCCGAACCCCAGGCCCAGAGCGCCTCCGATGTTCTTTACACCAGGTCTTTCTGGGACAGACAGCCCGGTTCTCAAGTTCATCATGCGGCTCCTCGCTTGTCCGGCTCTTTGCCTGATCCTCTTCATGTCGTATCTCGGACTCTGAATATCAGAACTGAGCTGGTATAGGGTTTTGGGTTTAGGGTATGTAGGGACTAGTTACAGGCGTTACGAACACGTACCGCCAAAGTGGGTATGATCTTATACCGACTCTGCGATTAGCAGCATAAGAACGGGTGAAGGCTGTCAGCTGAAGCAGTTGTCTGTTGCTGGCATGATTCAGTTATTCCAAACCCCCAAACCCTGAACTTCTTATCTGCTGCATGCTACTTGGCTACCTATGGGCGAAACCATGCTTGGGCTCTGGCTGCCCTAGGGAACGAATGGACTCAACCACAAGGGCTTAGGGCTTAGGCGGACGTTAGCTTAGCATGGATGTGGCATGGATGCTCCTGGGAACAGATGGAGTCGGTGGACGTCAACATGCTCGGGGCATGGAAAACCCTACACCCCAAACGCCCAAACTCCTATTCACCCAAATCCCTAAGTTCTAAATCCTAAAGCCCTGCACCCCTCAACCCTAAACTCTAAACCCCCGAACCCTGAACCCAGAAGCCCTAACCCCGAAACCCTTAAACCCCAAGCAGTGAAGCCCTGGATCCCAGGTGGTTTCTGGCCAAGCTCGTAGGGCGGCCGAAGCCCTTGGACTCTCTCCTCAATCTCTGCGGCATTTGCCTCTTTGCCTTCTTCCTGTCGATCCTTGGCGCTTTCAAGGGTTTAGGGGTTTAGGGATTAGGGGTTTGGGGTTCAGGGTTTTAGGGGTTCAGGAAGTTGAGGCGTGTGCTTTTGTGGGAGGGGAGATCCAGGTTTGAAGGCTGTTTGCTTGCGAGAACCATCACCGCAATCGTCATCAGAGTTGCAATGGCAATGATGATAACAAGCAACGCTGAAGCCAATAAGACAACTTTCGAGTACAGCACGTCGACGTGCAGGAGCAAAGAGGCAACTAGTCATGCGTCGCTGCAGTAGTCACGGTGCGGATAGTAGTAGAAGCTGAGAACGCACAATTTCAAGAACTTTGATTCATCAATCCATCAATAGTGTCAATTGTGCTCATCGTGGTGGCGGTAATCCGATAGTAATCACAGTAACAATGTTGATGTGATGGTGTAGTAGACATGTTAGACAGACCGTGCTGCAATACTAGGAGCGAGGGACATCCAAGAAGTAATGGTGCGGACCGCGAACAAACAGTAGCACCAGATTCAGTAGTAGCGGGAGTAGTAGTAGTGGTAGCAGCTGTTTTTTCCTCGACTTGTAAACCCGCACAGAAAGTGCTGCGTGCAAGCCGTATAAGCCCGGAAGCTCTCAACCCGACTGCCCTGAAGCTCTGAACAGCCTTGAAAGTGCTCCTCGCAAGGATCACCCTGGCAACGTTGAGCCCTCTGCGTTGCGTGCCAAATCCCAACGGATTCTTGCCAGCAAGTATAGGTGGGTCATTTGGGATTGAGGATGGGGTTTAGCGTTTTGTGGATCCTCGAAGGCTTTGGGGTTTTAGGGTTAAGGGTTTTGATGGGATTCGGCGTCGTTTTTTGGTGGTTTCGAGGTCTTCTTTGCAGTGTGGGCGCGGAAAGCGCGATTGAAATTCGATTGTAAATGCCAATACATCGGGCTCATTTTGGCGTTGAAATGCCTGAGTCCTGCCAGTACATGAGGAGAAGCATGTTGGCCGTGGTTCTGCATCCCGCAGATACACGAGGGGAAGCATGTTGCTCATGTCCCTGAATCCTGCCAGTACATGACGGGAAGCAGTTTGGCCGTGGTGTCCTGGTGTTGTCCTGGCAGTCTCCTGGTGGTCTGTTGGTCGTCTCTTTTTGCTCTCCTGGTGATCTCTGGGTGGTCTCCGGGTAGCCGTCGTCCTGGTGGTCGTGGTCGTCCTCGTGCAGCGGTCGTCTTGGGTGGTCTTCTGACGATCTCTTGGTGTTCTCTGGTTCTGGCCGTGTTTTGGTGGTCTCCTGGCATCTTCTCGTGGTCTCATGCTGGTCTCATGGTCGCGGTCCAGCGGTCGTCGTGGTCGTCCTCATGGTCGTCGTGATCCTGATGGACGTCGTAGTGCTCGAAGCCGGTATCGAAATGGGCACTTCAAAAGCGAATTCGGCCCCACTGCGTTAGGGATCCCGTCGGGTTTGATTAAGTAATTAGAGCATTTCAAGATTGACAGATCCTCGCGGGTGTGGCTCTTGTGGTGCTGATTCTCTGGGCTCTTGCCAGCAATGCTATCGTTCCCAGTATTGCTGCCATACTTCTCAGTTTCGGACCTAGCATTGGACCCTATAAACCCCAAACCTTGCCGACGTTAATATGCCTAAGCCCTAATCCCTAAACCCCTAACCCTACTTAAACAAGCCCTAAATCGTACATCCGAAGCCCTAAGCCTTAGAACCCCAGGGTCGGGAGGGCTGGAACCCTCACAGTGATGCAAGGCAGCGTCCACGGGAATACAAAAAGTTCGAAACGCCCTAGGCCCCGTACCCGCCAAACTTTGAGGCTCTCAGGGGTTGTTTATGTCTGTTGACATTATCAGAACTCCAAGCATCTGTCAGCAACAGCTTGTTATGTTACGGTTTGTTTCAGAAACGCTATACAGCATACTCTAGATTCGAGTAGGTGTCATCTCAAGTTAACCACAGCCCTACACCCCAAACCCTAGCCTCAAACCCTGGTGTCCATTCAGGTTTGCACTCTTGAGGTTTGGGATTTGGGGCTTAGGGTTCAGGCTTTGTAGCGTTTGGGGTGTAGAACGTTGGGTCTAGGGGGACGAACTCGCAAAAACTTGCGACCTTGGATCTTTGTGCACCCCAGCTGTAGTGCTCTCAGGATTTGGGTCCATGTTGAACATAACGCAAACGATTCGTGTGAGTTATTATGGGCCTAAGGGCACAGAAGTTAGCAGGGATGGAGCAGCCAAGGCACCAGCTCCCTGATCACTGATCCAGGCTGGGCCATAATCATGATGGCAACGGGTATCCGTACATAAACCCGGGGTTTGGGGGTTGACGGGTTTAGGGCTTAGAATTTGGGGTGCAGGGTTCTTAACCCTCCAGGCCTGAACTCTGAACAACTGGTTGTACAGGCTTCTATACTTGACGTGCAGCCCCGGGGCATGCACCGCACAGCACTCCTTTCTTCATCGGATTTTGGCAGATCCCCGAAAGGATGGTCAGCTATTGATCCCCGTTGCGGCGAGGACCGCTACAGCAACGACTGCAGCAGTTTGCTGCTTCTGCTTTTGCTGCTACACTTCGTCTTCTACTCGTGAGGCAGCTGCTATTCCTCCAGCAACCACTACTAGTCCTACCCTGGCGAAGACAACGACGACGACTAGTGCGATTGCAGCTACTGTTGCTGCTGCTGCTGCTGCGACAACAAAAACCTTCCACTGACAACCACAGTGCGTATCATAGGCTCTGTGAGGCCCTCCGTTCATCTGCGCTCAAAGCAAGCAGACCCCCCGAGACGCCTTGTTGTCGGTATTCAAGCACCACCCTGGTCCAACATGTTCGAACATCATCCCTGGCAGCCTCTCAGTCCGCAGGCATCATCTGCTATGTGTCGGATGAGCATCTTTGGCTAGTAGGGTTGGCAGCTGCAGGCGTTCTGAGCCAACCAGCGCCTTGACTCCAATTGCCTGCCACGGGTCGTCTGTGCTTTTGCTCTTGTCACACTACGTTTTGCAGTGTAACGGCATCACGCCCCATGACCCCTCCTCGTCCCAGCCATAGTCTTAGTCCCAGTCCGAGTCCCTGTCCCAGTCGCTGTCTTACTCCTACTCCTTCTACTCGGAGTCGGAGGGTAGGAGTAGGAGTAGAAGAAGTTGGACATGTAGTAGGAGGAGGAGAAGTAGTAGTAGTAGTAGTTGTTGTTGTTGTTGTTGTTGCAGATGTAGCTGTAGTTGTAGGACCGGCCGCAGCAGCAGTTCTTTTGAGTCGATTGGCTAGCTTCGAGAGTACCGTAAGGCATGATAGTCTCTCGCAACAGCAAGAACGGCCGGAGTTTCAAGGAGAAGAGCAGGAACCACATCAACATTAAAGCAGCCGTACAACTACGTACTATAAATATAGTATATGGGCCCCAAAACCCCATTCTAATTGTTAAGGCCCCTATATTACGTAGACGAACGCTCAGGTGCCGATACTCGCATGGGCGACTTATGCCACCGTCATGTATCCATCACGGGTTGCCAGTGGCCGAGCTCTTCGTCGCGTCAACCGCTATCGCTTCCTTTTCCACCGGTTCAAGCCAGAGAAGTGCCGAGATTTGCATTGGCAGGTTTAGTGCGAAGTTATGGGTTGTTTCTGTTCTGTTCAGCTCATGCGAAAAAGGTTAGGTTTCATCTCTTTTTTCGATCTGCTTTCGACCCATCAGAAAGTTCATGATATCCTCATGCCTAACTCGAAAACCCATCTTTGACGGTGCTCCAAGGTACTACTATGGCCTGGTGTTGCTGCTTCGCAATGGCCTCGTGGCTACTCTGCCCATCGTGACGGTGGAGTTGCCGGAGCTCCAGGCAGGGTCCAGCGAAAAATGGTTCAGGGTTCAGGGTTGAGGCTGTGTGGGAACGATCGCACTACATTGGCTTTCTTTTCGCTTCACACTTACTGTACATAGGACCGTGCATATAGCGCTTAGAGGATTCTAGAGGCTTACAGCTGATGCTTGACCGTGTCGCCGTAGACGTGCTCAAGTTTAGCGTTTAGAGCAAGACTGATTCCTAAGCTTATTGCTCGGGATCTTCTTCAACGTACCCAATATCCTGTCCTAGACCTCATCTGCTCGACCATGAACCTCTACATCACATGTCTGAAGCTCTTAACGCCTGGACTTGCGGCCCTAAACCCTAAACCTCAATCCTACAGTCCATGAAAAACCCGTATCCGGAAACCCCAATCCCGAAGCCCTAAGCTGCCCTAAACTAGCGGTAGACTCTCTTCTCAAATAACCGGGCCCAAAAGAGTTCAAACTGTTTAAGATAGAATAAAAATGTAAGACCGAAAAGCTTAAAGTTATGAGCCCTAAACCTGAGCCGAAACCCTACCAGCCTTGATTGCCCTAAGCCCCGTTTTAAAGAATCCTAGACCCTGGACCCTTCGCCCCTTTCAAGGATCCTACACCCTGGACCCTAAGCCCTGAACCCTGAAACCCTAAACCCTAAACCCCAAAAGAGGATCTTAGTTGACTCCCTGCTTCGTGTACTCAGCCATGCAGGAGGCAAAAAAAGAGGATCTTAAACCGTAAACCCTCAAAAACACTAAACGAGGTGCCTTCCATGGGCTTGATCCTCCTGGTTTCCGGGGCGCTTCAGGCGAGGACGTATCCTTGGCGCACGGAAACCGCGAACCACGTGGAGCTGATATTGACTCTCAGACTTCCATAAGAGTTTAGCGTTGAGGGCTTAGGGTTGAGGTTTGGGGCTAAGGGTTTAGGGTGAACCACGCGGAACTGATGCCGACTGGTTGGATCCGATAGCGGGGGATCTGATGTAGGGACTTTAAAAGCTTGACGGGGCATACAGTCCGATGACTAGAATAGGTATTCAGACCTGCATATTCGGACATCACGAAGTACCTAGGTCATGGAAACGGGTCGTTCTATTATAAATGCTTGAATACTTGGTAATACCATTCGTTAGGCTCTTAAGAGCCTTAGGGGGTTCCTTGTCCTACTTATAGCATCAGCACACCCCAGCATGATGTGGGGTCTATGAGGCATCGACTTCCCAGAAATTCCTTAAACGCTAAGTCCTACAGCAAACCAACGCTGTACCCCTAAGTCTTGAATTCCAAACCCTATACCCCAAGCCTAATATCCTGAGCCCTAAACCTTAAAACCCCAAACCCCAATCAAGGATTGGCCTCCTGCTCCTTATGCTGCTGGCCGCTGCGCCGTTGCTCAGCCACGATCGCGATCGGTCCTCCACCCTCTTGGGCTGGCATCCCGGCTTAGGGTCCCAGAACCCTACTTTAACCCCAAAGAACCTACCGTCATTTAAGGACTGATATAAGGAAATCTAGGGTATTTCTACGTAGGTTAAGCAAAAGACCTGAATAGGGCCTCTACGCCAGGGATCCTAAGCCCCACGCCTAAATTGCACCGCCTTACCTGCAACCCGAAAAGAGCAGAAAATAGCATACCATTACTTTGTTAAGGACCTAATTATACAAAAAAGTCGTAGTCAGGAACTTTCTTCTCGGAGGGGTCCTTCAAGCCCTATTCCCTGAAGACAAGGCGCCTAAACCACAGCAAATCCTTGAAGCGCTAAACCTTTTTGCTTTGAAGCCCCTCAAGAAAACACCCTAAGCCGCTACAAAGCATGCAGCCCTCAACCCTGGCGCAAATCAGAACAAATATCATGAAAGAGGCAAAGAGGCAGCTTTAAACAACAGATCCAAGCTCTTGAGCAAAGGCTCTATAAACCCTAAACTAAACCTTTACACCTAAACCCTAAACCTTAAAACCTAAACTCTAAACCCTTTACTGAAAAAAGCAAGGATCCTTTGCCTGCCGGTGATCGGAGTTCTCCTGGTCGGGTCTCTGGCGCTCTTCCGAGCACTGGCACGGCATTTGTATCGCCGACGGCTGTACGGCATCTTCCTCTGCCATCACAAGGCCGGCCTCTGGCAATTTTGGGTTTCCAAAACAGGGTGGTTTAGGGTTTAGGGTTTGTAGAAAAGGTTCTACAAAGGTTCTACAAAGGTGCTTCCTCTGCCAACACTGAATCGCACGACCTGTCTTTAGGGTTTAGCCGGGTTTAGCGGTTTAGAGTCTAGGATTCTTGAACCGGCTACAAGGGGTTGTACAAAGGGTGCGTCCTATGCCATCACAAGGCCGGTGGTTAGTTTATGGGAGTGTAAGGATTGGAAGAAGGTGTGGCAACAAGGTATTTTCTCTGCCATCACGAGGCCCGTTGTTGACCTAGGGTAGATTGATCCTTTCTGTATGGTAACATATGGTAACATAGGGGAACCTAAGGATTGGAACCAGGTCTTGGGCTGTGCTTCCTTTGCCATCACACGGCCGGTGGATAATAGGCGACCTAAAATCTAAAGTAAGGGCTTGAGGTATACTCCTTGTCTGTGAAGGAGCACTACTGCCAACTATCTCGCGAGGCTTTATTCAAAGGACTTCTGTAAGTTATCATGAAGCGAAGTGCACATTCTTAGGGTGACAGGTTTTTGTTGATGTGTTGTGATATTATGAACTTGGAGTGTGTCAGGGCTCAGGGAGTTCAGGGCTAGGTGGGGTGCCTAGGTTTGGGAGGGTATTGGTCTGAACGCTAAGACCCATTGTTTCTCTGCATTTTGCGTGTTGTGATGGTTGCAGAACCCTAAACCTTAAACTTCTCAACCCTTTATATTCTAAAGTCTAAGCCCTGCACCCGAAACCCTTTAACCTCGAAACCCTAAGTCCTATGCCCTCAGCCGCAATCTTAAGCCCGACTTCCCTGAGTCCTTGCAGGGTGGCGCCGGCAGTCTCTGTCGTCTGTTGAAGATCCCCGGCCATGTTTGTGAGAGTTGTATTCAAGGGTTTAGGGTTCAGGACTCAAGGGTTTAGGGTTTATTGTCCCGGGCACCGGGGTTTAGCCTTAAGGGTTTGAGGGTTTAGAGTTTCAGGGTTAGGCTTGTTTCCCTGGCTCTCGGTAGGGAATAAGGGGATGGATCCCTATGAGATGATAGTCCCTTGAGGTCCCTTCTAGCAGTCCCCATAAAAAAACTCCCCCAATTCTACCAAGAACCAGAGTCCTGGTTGTAATATCTTTCTTCAAGGATTTAGACTTCGGCCTCTGGCTTTAAGGCTCCAGGTGTTCAGTCTAGATCCTAAACCCTACACCCTAAATCCCACACACTGAAGCCTGACCTGCTATGTCCAATATCCTACGCCCCCGTAGCCTAAAACCCAAAACCCTAAACCCCGAACCCTCAACTAAACCCTAAACCCCGAACCCCAAACTAAACTCTAAACCCCGAGCCCTAAACTGAATCCTAAACCCCAAACCCAGCCTATGCGCCTTGGGCCTTTCGGCATTTGAAACTTGTGATCCCTCACTTGCAGCCGAAACAGGAACCGTAACAGGATCTGTCTAGGGTTTGGGGCTTCGCGTTTGGGTTTCGGGCGTAGGGGATTTTGCAACAAGTCGTGGGAGAACGCCTGCATCGGCAGATGTTCATCCCAGATGTCGAAAAGCAGACATCTTCATTTACCTTTTCAATCTGCAAGGCTGCTGGGATGTGCTGTGCCATTGGCATGTTGCATGTTGTGTGTATGCATATGTGCACAGCCCTCCCAAAACGCACCGAACACCCAGCAAAGACCCCCCAAAGCTTCATCATCCGCACACTTTTCGAAGCTTGAATAATTACTTGTAGTTCACTGATACTATTCCTTTTAGTGTTTCTCAGTATATGCCTAGTACAAGAAACCCCGGACAAAGTTCACTTAATTTCGGATTTAAGAGCCCCTTCTACCGAACCCCAATTACAAAGTCTCAGGCAGCTTGATAAAGACCAAGCCAAAGAGCCAATTTGTCGTGAAAGCAGCACAGAAGTTTAAAGAATCTTGACAACCAGGGATCTGTACAAAACCCAAGAGTGCCAATCGAGACCTAAAGCCTCAAGGATCTTTACCTCACCACAACCCCTACGGGCCTTTTCGCAAACTCAACCACCCTAAACCCTAACACCCTAAACCCTCAACCCTCAACCCACCAGACCCGAAGCCCTAAACCCCCACCCCCAAACCTCAACCCTCGAGGATCTTGATCGCTAGAAAAACGGAGACGCGAGTGTTCTTGGATTGCGACCAACTCGAGAACTTGGACCCGCCGAGCACCGCTTCAGGGTTGTTTTCGCGGTGTTCTGGGATTAGCACATATCTGTATGGAAAAATCTGTGTATGTACGTACGTACGCATGTATGTATGTATGCATGTATGTACGTATGTATGTATGTATTTATGCATATGTATAAGTGTATGTTTACATACATACATATGTATATATGATGGTATGAACTTATATATGGCTATAGATGATTACATATATACAGGTGTGTATATATATATATATATAATTAATTATATATACATACACAGCTGATAAACTGTCCAGCTATAACTGCATAGCCACCTGACCAGATAGCTATCTAGATGACAAGCCGTGCAGCAAGCCCGTGGTTGCGCCACAAGCTGGCCCGCCTGCATCTGCTTTGTGGCGCAGCCCTGAAGTTCTTACGAAACCCTTAAGGGTTCCGTTAAGCGTTCCTTTTGGGGTCCATTCAAGGCATCTTTTGACGGTTCCTTTAGGGGCTCCTTTAAGGGTTCCTTCAAAGGTTCCCTTTCTGGGAGTCTGGGTTGGACCACACATACTACTACAATGTCATTTATGAATATTTAAGGGTATCCTTAGGTTGCTGAAGCCATCCTAAGGGAAGTCCTTTGAAAAAACAGCCCCATGCCCAGCGCTGACAGGACTTCCTCTTCGACATCGTTCGCACGGCTACAAGGACCGCCGATCTTGAGGCTTCAGGATTTCGGCGCTTTTGGTGTACGTGCTTTGGGGTTTAGGGCTTGGGATTTAGTGGTTTTGGGTCTGGGGGCTCCCAAAGCCCTGACCACTTAAAAGCCCTTCCGTTTCCCTTGCATGGCATGGGACCTGCTCCAAACAAGGGAAAGCCGTACTCACATACACCTTGAGACCTCAGCCCTAAACTGAAAAAAGCATCTGAACGAGTGTGTCTGCTGATCCTAGTCTGTTGATGCCGCACCCAACACCAGGAGTATCGTCGTGGTGCTGACATCAGAGGTGCTCAAACGAGTTCCGCGGAGCAGTTGGGAATCCAAAGCCCCAAGCCCCAGAGAGAAGGGGCCCTAAGCCCTCAATCCTGAACTGAACCTCACCCTAAACCCTAAGTCCCTAAACCCTACAGCAGTCGAGTGCCAGGCCCCTTCACTCAACGTTTAACATGCTCAAGCTTTGCAGCGCCCCACAATTCCTAGAGTCTAAACCCTAAACCGTGTATCCTTTGCAAGAACTCCTAGGTTTGGTGTGCGGGCGAGATTGCGACGGCGTTCAAGAACGGGGTCACCACGGTCCCTTGGGCTTTTTCAAGACCAGCCATGTCTGTGAAAAATTTAGCAACATCCTGCAAACTTAAACTGTTCTTAACCCTAAACCTCTAAACCCTAAATCCTACACCTTGGGTATTGGAGAAGTAAAGGTCCCGCTGCAGTGCGACGGCTACATCCCGCCAACAGAGGAGGGACGGGAGCTGATCCTGCTCTTGGGGCTGCATTAGGTCATTAGGCGTTAAGGTTTAGAGTTTAGGTTTATGGCTTTGAGTCGAGGTAGGGTTTAGGGTGCTGGGGTTTAGAGTTCTGGGTTTCGGGCTTTGGGGTAGTCATGTATTTTGCGGCATGACAAGTCCACGTAAGGGAACAAGGTTGTTCATCAAGTTCTGCGTGGGGGTGGTGGATGGGGTTCCCTTTAAAACAAGGAGCTGAGTAAGGGTTCAGTTGGGGTCAGTATTGAGGTTTGCACTTCCCATGGTCAAAAGCACAGAAACCACAGACAAAGAGCAACGTCCTGAGCTCAAGATGGACTTTGCTTGTGAGTTCCCACATTTCCCAGACTCTAAGCCCTGTTTTGTGGTCTTCGCCATACACCCTCAGCTCACAATCCTAAACTCTAAACCATAGCCGTAGGCCCGAAGCCCCAAACCTTGAAACCTAAATCGCTAAGGGGTTTAGATTTTCAGGAAATCTGGTGGGCAACAGCTCTCCGAAGCTGTGTAGTCGATCTGTTGCGAGTTCAAGAACTTCCTATAGTCTCCATTGGAGTCCCTTGTTTTTGTTACCTTCTGGGGTCCAGAATATATATATATATATATATATATATACTGATTAAAGCAGAACTAGAAGCTACAACGGAGGCTATAGAGGATTTTTAGTCCAGGGTTCAGGATCCAGGTTCTTTTGGTTCAGGGTGGGGACTTGTCTCAGGAAAGGTGTTGCAGGGTGTGCCTCCAGATGTTATTGGACTTACTCTAAGACTGCTATAGAGTGCTCATAAGGATTCTTCCACTGTGTTTGACTTGGGGTCCGAACTTCCCACGTTGAGCATCGCATGTCATGTAGGGGGTTTCCTTAATACGGTGACAGTATAATGTACCCCAACACCTTATTCTAATTAGTAAGGCGCCTATGCTAAACCCCCACAATACCCTTATGGCAACCCTTCTATAGAGGCCTTCGCAGGAACCCTATTCTAATTGTTAAGGCCCCTCCGAACTACCCAGGTCTCTCTGGACCAAGCAGCAGAAGCAAATGCTCGCTAGCTACGGCATCACCGACGAAGCGATTTTGGCTGCGCTTCCCGGCTGCTGCTTGCTTGTTTTTTTTCTCTCTCGCTCTCTCTCTCTCTCTCTCTCTCGCTCGCTGTCTCTCGCTCTCTAAAGTCGGTTTGTGTTTTCTTCTCGAGGGTTTTGGCGTTTGGGGTTGTGTAGTTTAGGGTGTGTACGGGCTTCAGGGCCAGGGCGGGGGGATCCTGCAGATCGGTTCTTTCGGATTCCGGGCTGTAGTGCATTGGGGCCCAGGCCAGGTAGAGCTGATCAGCAGAATCCTATAGTAGGGGTTGGCGTGCCTTGTGAGGCCCGAGTGTGTGTGTGGGGCTCAGGGTATGCTTAGACCACAGGCCCTATGACTGATAGCCAATCCTCTGCATCCGGCACTTTAAGGGTTTAGGGCTTAGGGTAAACCCTGAATCTTAAGCTCGAAGAGACAAGCTCGGATACTGCTGGTTGCGGTGTTTAACCCCAGCATCCCTCAACCATCTGTTCATATAGAATGCTTGTAACGCAACTAGAGATCCGTATAGAACCCTTGTACCACATGTTAGACCTGTTATAGACTTCCAGAGCCAATTGTAAAACCCCTATGGAATCTTTGTACTTCATAGGACCCCTCTAGACCCTTTACAGAAACCGTATAGAACTCCCTTAAAGCTTTTATGGAATCCGGACTTATAGTACCCCTTTGGAGACCTTTGTGGAAATCACACTGTAGAGTCCCAACCCTTTAACTTTACCTTTAGCTTCAAGCCCACAGCCGCAACACCCCGAGCCCAGTTTCCTATCGCCGAAGCCCATGTGCGACAGGCCTCAACCCTGAACCCTCACCCCCTTGAACCCAAAACCCTCACCCCCAAAGCCAGACCCTAAACTCAACCCCGAAGCCCAAAACCCCTAAGCCCCCTCTGAGCCCAGTCCCCCGAACCAAGGTACCACTGGTTGCAGGAAGAGTTGGAACCCATCAAAATGCCTCGGTTCGGGCCGGTCGGATTCCCAGTGCAAGGCTTCCACATTCCGTAGCTCTTGTTTCAACGGTTCAGGTTTGTTTTGGTGGGGGGTAGGGGGGGGGTTGGGGGGTTGGGGTGAGTCAGGAGTTGCAACTTAGATAAGGGGCTTCAGGTCGGGAGGGTTTTGGGGTCTAAAGCTTCAGGATCTTTGTCGCTGCACGTCTTTGGGGCTTAGGGTTTAGGGTTCAGGAGTTCTTGCCCAGGGTAGTGGCTTTTGTCGTGTGGAAGTTGTGCTCCGCACAAGGGATCCCGAACCATCGCGGCCTGGAACTAGCTGCGGGCGCTCGGAATGGTACGTTGTGGGACCACTGCCCCTTTCCAAGGTCTCATAAGGGAAGCTATAAGACAACAAATAGACTATGACCTGAACAATGATAGCCTTCTATCATTCTCAAAGGAGCACTAGGCTTGTAAGTCAAAGGTGCTATACAGGCCATGCCACTCTCTCTGGGCTTGTTTGGGAATGTGGGATGTGTGCAGGTGCATCCCAAGGCAGCAGCGACGGACAAAAATGCAAGTTTAATGGATGGATTTCTGTGTACTTCCCTTGTATAGGATGTGTGGCTTAGAGCCAAAAGCTTTTGCGTGATAGGTGCTTGCTTCGATGTTGCATGCCTGGGCAGTGCCGTCGGGAAATCAGCCCGCACGACGACGACATTCAAGTTCAACCACGCTTGGCTGTTGAGGGCTTAGCCCCTAAAATCGTGTGGCCTCGAGGATGGGCTTGGACATGGCCATCTTGGCATGTGGTCGTCAGGCTATCCTGGCGGTGGGATTTGCGGCACAGTCGACATAGTCGTCTTACAGGATCCCGGCGTCTCGAAATACTGCGGCCGTCCAGCAACAGTCATCCCTCCTTGCGCCGCTGGGTACGCACACGACGATGTCGAGGGAATCGCAACCATTCCCTTCTCCAGAGATTTGCCCCCTAGACGAGTCCGTCGGAGCTTCAATTGCTCATTTCCGTTCACAAAGTAAGGTCTTAGCCACGTCAAAACCCGCAGACTTGTGCTGGCGTTTGTCCATCCACCCCGATGCTTTGAGATCTGAAAAAGCCCTGACCCGACAAACCCTGATCCAAGGCTTTAAATCCCACGGGTTGAACTTAGCCGTCGCCGTTGAACCCTGAATACCCACCAAAGCTTGGAAGCCGAAGGCCCATGGCATCACAACAGCAGATATTGACGATCATAAGCCTCGAACCTGCCAGAACCAAGAAGCCCCAAAAAGGTCGCGGACAGGGAAGAAGCAGTTTGGGAGCTTTTGGGGCGTGGTGGCATCCTCACAGGGGGGAAGCTGCTGCGTTCGCTGAGTCTAAAGCCGAGTAGCTCGAGGAGCGGGGCTCTTTCGAGTGTTTCAGGGTTCTTCGGGTTTAAGGCATCGGGTCGAGTTCAGCGCTTTTTTGTTCATCGTCGCCGTTGCGGCGCTTTGCGGCGTATGTATGGGTGGATGGATGCATGGATGTACGTATGTATCTATGTACGGTCATAGTTTATGCGGTGTTTGAATGCGGTGTTCGTTTATGTGGATATCGTGCCCTCCCTTAACCCCATCTGCCTCCGTACTGATTGGTGCGTGCGTGTCACCGCGAGGAGTAGCTTGTCGACCGCGAGAGCTCGAATTCTGATCATGAGCGCCTTGGAAGTATTGAAGAGCCCCTACGCGATAGAGGGTCCAGGGCTTCGTTGGTCGTCGGTCCAAGTTGACAAAGCCCAAAGCGGCTTTGCAGGACTCGCTTAGTGCCATTTCGAGCTCAGAACCTGACAAGTTAAACTTCAGTGTTTTACCGTAGCAACCCCCACAAGCCCGTCCGAACAACCCCTACTGGATTTTGCCTCGCATTTCATTCTGCTCGTCGGAGTTCATCCGAAATTCCAGTCGTCTGCCTAAACCCCGAACTCCAAGCCTTAAACCGGAAATGGTGTGGAAAGAGGTCCTTAAAAATAGACCCCCGATGCCAAAACCGGAAACCCAAACCCTTATCTCGAACGGCCGTTCTGGGGTATCTAGACGTGCCATGGCTTCGATGTTTGAGAAGTCGAGAGTGAGAAACGTTCTTGTGGACGTAGATGGCTTGCAGCGGGATGAGAATTTCGAAGACATAAGCAAGCTTTTGAAGAATGCGGGCATCAATTTGATCAACGGAGGTGACAGGAGCGGCCCACGCGTAGATCATTACCTCCGCCCTGTCGGCTTCGAAAGCGTTCGACGCCCCCGCAGAGTTATTCCTGAAATACTACGGATTCACTTTCCCTGCGACGATCCCCGAGTCCAACAAGAGCCCCTTGGCAATCTCGCTGAAGCAGAAGAGCGCAGACCAGGCTCTGCTAGAGGGCCTGAAACAGGTCGGTTTTCTCAGGGACGTTCGCGGCAAGGACGTCCGTCAGTCCAAAACCTTGAGGCAACTGCAGGTCCAGGCCAGTGAACAGGCCAAGGCCCTTGTGTGGGTCCTCAGCAGTGCACCAGCTGCTGTGGACAACCCACAGCCGAACGCCATGCCGGACTGGTTCTTCCTAGACTTATCTTTGGTTAGTAGGGACTGGATGAATGGGGTACAATTGTAACTGATTACTACCATTCTTCCATTCCCTACTAACCCGGACAAGTAGAGTCCTAGAGCATTTCAGAATTTTTCAGAATAGCGTCAAGCAGTTCAAAATCGGACAGGTGATTGGCCCCAACGGTCAGACAATTCGCAGCATCCAGGATGTGGCGTCGGCCTAAACCCTAGCTAACACCCTAAACCCAAATGCAGCCCTACTAGCACTCTTATAGAATGCTATAGAACCCAATGCAGGCTTGACTAGAACCCTGTCAGAACCCTTGTTGCAAAACACAAACATGTGTAAACAATTCCTTTCAGGACCTTTCTCAGACGCCTTCCAAGCCATAAACGGCCATTCGAAACATACAACCTCTACTAGAATTTTCTAAGGAACACTAAACCCGAAGGCCTGACTGAATCCTTACAGTGATTTTCCGAGAGCCCGCCTGTAGAAGAACCCTACCAAGGCTGTTTTTGGGGAAATCCTAAACTATATGGTTTAGTGCCATTAACGTAAACCTTAAGCCCCAAACCCCGAAACCCCTAAACCCTAAACCCCCAAACCCTTAAACCCGTCAGCCCCAAGATGTCAAAGACAGCATTTCCAGGCTCTGTCTCGGATGCCGAGTGCCTTTCCTCCTGCGAAGTCTTCCAGCTAATGTTGCAGGCACCGGTATTTTGGTTAGGGTTTAAGGTTTGGGGTTTAGGTTTAGGGCCTAGGGTTTAGGGTTATCGGGCTTCGGCCGTAGGGTTTAGGATTATTGTTTAGACGTTCAGGCCTAAGGGAGCGCGCTTTTTTTTCGGAATTGATTAGTGTTACAGATATGTGTATAGAGTTGTTTGTGGGTTTTGGGGCTTGAAGGTTTCGCTGTTTGGGTTATTGTTTGAGCCCAGGGCAGGGCCCAGGGTCTTGCATCACTTGGGGTTCTCTATGGTGGGATCCAGCGGCTTTTGGGTTATAGGGGTTGGGTTCTGGGGTTGAGGGGTTTTGTTTAAGGGGTGCGGGCTGAGGATTGAGGGGTTCGGGGATAGGGTTTTGGATGGGAGGTGTAGGGGTCAGGGTTCAGGTTCTGATAGGCGCTGGGTGTTAGGGTTAAGGTTCAGTGGTGAGAGTTTTGAACCTAGGGGTTGTGGGGTCGCGGTCCAGGAGATCGCGTGCCGGGGTGTGCAGGGTTCAGTTTTCGCCTTGAGCTTCGTGGGCCTTCGTATGTTGAAGGCATGGGGTGTTCCAGTGTTTCATACGGTTGATAATATAAATCCTGCATTCCCTTAATGACCCCGGACTATGGGAATTATGGTATCTTCCTAATTGTGGGTAACGCAGGACTTCTATCATCAACAGTACTTTTTCAAGATCTTCATCACTCAGCTAGTCCTCATTGGCATCACGTGTAAAGTTGGCCTAGGCCTGGAAACTTCAACCCTAAACCCGAAGCCTGAAACCTTGAATCCGGACTCGGCGAAGCATACAAGAGGCGCAGCTCCGTGTCGAGTGCACCGTGGTGCAAAATCGACGTCAGATGTTGAAGTGGAAACCCTTTGCGTACTACCTGGTGACTCGGTGTGCATCTATGTGGGACCGCGCCTTGAGGGTTCAGAGTTTAGGGCGAACCCATCTTTTGCTTCAAGGGCTAAATATCAAAACTGTTGGGGCTTTACATCTTCTACTATAGACTCTATGGGACCTAGGCCATAAACCCTTTTGCGCTTCCTTTGTTCATTGGGCTTTGGGCGGTTCAGTCTCTAAGAGTCGAGGGTCTTGGATTTGGGTATTAGGTTCTTGCGGTTTGAGTTTTGAGGCTTCGGCACACGGATACTGGGCAGACACGTCATCATAACAAGCCCTCGCCTTGTACTGAAGCACTCTATGTGTTTACCCTTACATAAGCCGTTCCAAAATGCAGCGCAATACAAAGATTTAAACCCTCAGCCGTAAACGTACATGCAATCCCTAGCACAACCTTGATCCCAACAAGCCCGAAGCTCTTACACATGGAACGGTAATATAGAAGCCTAAATAATTACCGATACTATTGTGGGGGTTCCTCAATATGGTTATAGCATAATATACCCCCACAGCTTATTCTACTTATTAATACCCCTATAGTTTTCAAGCCGACCCACTGCCGGGCCTCAGGTGTTGCAATGAGGGGGTCATATGATTCGAAACTAGGCCCGGACCCCGAAATCCTACACCTTAAACCCAAAACCCTCAACCTTAGACCCTAATTCCTAAGCTTTAAAACTGGACCTTCAACCCTAAACCTTAAACCATAGGCCTCCACCCTAGGTCCCCTTTTGTATCCCGTTAAGAAACCCTTTTAAGGATCGAGGAGCCCTTTAATTTAAGGACCCCTAAACCCGTATAGGCCCCTACTCTAGGTGGTGCTGCTTTTCCGCGGCATCTTCTCGGATTCGGGATTCGCGCGACTTCTCTTGGCGGCTTTTTCACCACCGGGACGGTCTTTGGAGGCATCGTGTAGGGTTTAGGATTCAGAAGATTGGCCTAAACCCTACACTCTAAACCTTGGGAAAGGGTTTAGGGTTTAAGTTTTGGGGCTTTGTTATGCGAGCACAAAGTCTCCTAGGATTTGGGGGTTTTGGGTTCGGGGTTGGGATTTGGTGTTAGGTCGATGGGTTTCTTCGGGGCCTTCGGGGCGATTTGGGGAGCGAGTTTTCTGGTGCTTCAGAGCTTCGGGATTTTGGTCGGTCTTGAGCAGTTTCCTGTTAGTTTGGGTGCCCCATATTTGCGGACTCGGGTTTGGGGGTGTAATGCTGCAAACAAGCGCAGGGTTTAGTCTTCAAGGTAGAGGGGGCTATGATTGAGGTTTAGGCCTAAGCTTTTGAGGGATACAGGCGGGATTTGCAAAGGGGCTTCGGGCGCTGTGCCCTTTTTCCGAAGCTCTGTCCCAACATCCCAAATCCGGAAGAAACCGAAGCTCGGAGCCCTACCATACCTCTCCCGGGCGCTATGGTTTTCAAGCATCCTAGACCTAAACCACATGGTACGCAGTTCGGAAAAAACAGCTGATGACGTGCCGCTACTTCAGTCCTCATGTGGGTCGTAAACCCAACACCTTAAGCTGTTTGGTATACTACTACGTCCTGCGTGATGCTGTTCCGGCTGCTCAGGCCCCTACTTTTTAAGCCCCCGAAGCTGTCCGAAACCTTATCCCGTGGAGCCTACACCTCAGCCCCAAACTCTACACCCGAAGATGTCTGAACCTCCGGGGCAGGTTTTGACGCTCATCGCTGATGTGCAGTTCGAGTTTCCAAGTTTTGACCTTGACCACAATCCGACGATCGATCCGGACATGGATGCCGACGACGTGGCCGATCAGAGGCAGCTACTCCAGGCCACTTAGCTCTCGGCGGGTGTGCTAGGGTTCTCTGTCAGAGTTCGCTTAGAGTTCAAGGGGTTCCTGCCAGGGGATCAGAGACCGACTACGATTGGACTTATCGTTTCTAGGTTTTCGACGTCAGGCCTGCGCAGGGTTTGAGGGGTCATTACGTTGAGACTTGTAGGAAGCTGCACGGGTTTCTGGGTTTTGCCATTGTTTCTGGTTCTGAATTCCTGATAAGGCTTGACGGTCTTAAAGGGTTGAAAGACGCGTTGCCACGTCTTTGCGCGGGTTCAGAATGCGGTATCTCTATCCTCTGCATCCGAGAGATCTTGTTTCCGAGTTGCCCCAACCCCAGGCTAAGCCCCTAAACCCCTACACCCTAAGCAACCACTAAACCCTAAACAGCCCTTAAACCCTGGGCCCTAAAACCCCTAAGCCCCAAAGCCCCTAAACCCCGAAGCTTCTTATGGATCCCTTTACGGCCCGCTTAACCCCTCAAGACCCCTACACGTAAGCCTTAAACAACCCTTAAACTCCTACACCCTAAGCAACCCCTAGCCCCCTAAATCCTAGGCTACACCCCAAACCCTAAACCCAAAGCCCTAAACTGCCAATATAACCCTACACCCCGAAGCCCAGGCTTATAAGAGCCTCGTCACAGTCCTCGCACTTCCCTTCTCACCACTTGCCTCAGAAGGTCAGCTGGGCGGGAGGGTTTAGGGTTAAGGCCTTCAGATTCCTTAAAGGGATCCTTAAAGGGATGTATGGTTAGGCTTCAGGTTTAGGGGTTTTGGGTTTAGAGGTTTAGGGCTTGGGGTTGAGGGAGTTTGAGGGTTCATGGGATCGACTTAGTTTGGGGTTTTAGTCTTCTGGGGTTCAGCGTCGAGAGGTTTTGGGGGGTCTAAGGTTCAGGGTTGGTTGAGAGTTTACTTCAACATGCCCAAAACCTTTCTTTTTATAGGGTACCTACAAATTCATATTGGGTTTTCCAAAAGAATCTACACACATGTAGAGTTTCACAGTTTTACGCTAGGGTGAGGGTTCCATGGCTTGGCTTTCCGTCGCACCTCAACACTTCAAGGTCGAGTTGCTACCTAGGCCCCCCAACTACCCCCTAATATACCCCAAATCCCGACTATTAAGGGCCATAAGAACCCTATAACAGGGCCCCTGAGTACCCTCTAGTATACCCCAAATACCCACGATCATAAGGGCCCTAAGAACTCTAAAACAGGGCCCCCAACTACCCACTAGTATACCCCAAGTACCCACGATTACAAGGGCCATAAGGACTCCAAAACAGGGCCCCCAACTACCCTGTAATATACCAAATCCCGACTATTAAGGGCCATAAGAACCCCATAACAGGGCCCCCGAGTACCCTCTAGTATACCCCCAAATACCCACGATCATAAGGGCCCTAAGGACTCTAAAACACGGCCCCCAACTACCCTCTAGAAAACACCAAATACCCACGAATATACGGGCCATTGAGGACTCTAAAGCAGTGCCCCCAACTACCCTCAAAAAAAAACCAAATCCCTACTATTACTGGCCATAAGAACCCTATAACAGGGCCCCCGAGTATACCCCAAATACTCACGGTTATACGGGCCGTAAGGATTAAAAACAGGGCCCCCAACTATCCTCTAGTATACCCCAAATACCCACGATTACAAGGGCCATAAGGACTCTAAAACAGGGCCCCCAACAAGAACCCTATAACAGGGCCCCCGAGTATTAAGGGCCCTAAGGACTCTAAAACAGGGCCCCCAACTCCCTCTAGTATACCCCAAATACCCACGATTATGAGGGCCTTAAGGACTCCAAAACAGGGCCCCCAACTACCTTCGAGTACACCCCAAATACCCACGATTAAGGGCCATAAGAACCCTGTAACAGGGCCCCCAACTACCCTCTAATATACCGAAAGCAAAAAAGTAATTACTAGTAACAGAAAGAAGCGGACCAAAATACCCACTGTTAAGGGTCATAAGGACTCTATTAAAGGGCCCTTGGGGGGTCCTGGTACTGTGGGAAGCTCCGGGGCTCTTCGATTAATGCTACAGAGGCCTAGGTGCCTAGGATCCCTTAAAGGGGTCTATAAGCATGGCTTTGGGTTTAGTGGCTTCAGCTTTACTTTGTGTTTGTCTCTTCTGGTTCTTCTTTTGCTCCAGAACTGACCAAAAAACACCCCGGGGTACAAGCCACCCTAAAACCAATAGCCCCAAGCCCAGACGGGTTCCTCCGGAAGGTCTGCAAACGAGGCAGGTGGCCGAGATAGCCGGCAGGATGCACCGATACAAGGACTTGTCGAAGGTTTAAGGCGTCATTAGAGACACTGTACTAGAGTTGTTGGCAAGAGTTTTATGTCGCTTCGTGGAGAATTTAGAAATGTCTCATACAGCCTTGTAAGGCTTTTCAGTTGCAAGGACTTGTGAAAGGGTGGCCAGTGCTTGGGTCAGGGGCTTTCTTAGGTTCATTCATGCTTTGGAGTTTGGAAGGTGCGGTTTGCAGTGCAAGGGCTTAGGGGTTAAGGGTGTTCCGCATCTTCGTGAAATGGTTGGCGTCTTGGAAATAGGAAGTTAAAAAGCCAGCAGCACAGGGCCTGGGACGTTTCACGACCCTGGGCCTCAAAGCCTTCAGATTTAAAGGTTAAGATTTTGGGTTCCCTTAACCTTGAATTCTAATCCCGATGCCCCAAAGCCTTCAGGATGTAAATGTGAGGTTTATGGGTCGATTTGTTCAGATTGTTTAGGGCTTGGGGTTTCGAGGTGACAGGGTCTCACCGTTTGGTTTTCAGGTGGTAGATTTTGGCCCTAAGCTCTAAACCTTAAACCCCAAACCCTAAGCTTAAACCGTAGACCCTAGCTGCAGGTCTCGGGGCTGTGAACACCAGGGTGCATGTTGCAAGCTTCAGACAAAACATGAGTTTCCACAATCCAACAGACCATGGACGAAGTTCCCAACCCTCTCTACCCGGATACCTACTCCCGGACTCCTTCTAATCTGAAAGCCAAAACTCAGAACTCTACACACTACTTTAGGGGCCTTAATAATTACCTATACTATTTTGAAGGGTTCCGTTTTATTTTGTAGAATACTGGGCCCCAAAACCCTATTCTAATCATTAAGTCCCTGATATTAGCTGGCGTGAAAATCCAAGTCCCCGCGAGGATCCAGCATCGGCAGCTTCGCGTGACGAGGCAGATGACAACTTCACGATGAAACAGATCGAGGACGCATTGACAGGTGATGGGGATTAAGGAGCTTTTATATCGGCTCAAGAGCATTCTATGTGGTTCCTGAAAGGCATCCATAAGAAGGTTTCGTGGGTGGGTTTGGGGGCTTTGGTGTTCAAGTTGTGGAGCTAAGTTTAGGGTTTGGGGTTGAGTTGTGAGATTGACGGGTTTATGGGGGTTAAGGCGTTCTGGATATATCGGTTTATGGCTTGGGGCTTTGGGGTTCAGGGTTTGGGAGTCCAAGTACAGTCGATCCCGAACTGGTCAAATAGTTCCATTAGGTTCGCGCATGACGCATGATATGATCTTAAACCCAGCTGACAGGCAAAAAAAGAATGGTATGCCCATCTAAGTTTTGCAGAATAGGCGGGGTGTATATTGGGTTGCTGAAGACTGAAGCTATCATTTACATGGTTCTTGAAGGTCTTAGAGTCTGCAGATCTGGCCTACCTATCCAGCTGCCGGATCAGGCAGAGGCAGTAGGACTCAAGTAGGGGGTTTTAGGTTTGATGCCGTTGGGAGTTTGTTGCTCCGGTTGTTTGAGCTGTCGAGGTCCTGAGGCCTAAGCTTTCACCTGGAAACACAGCTGGGAGTTTTGGGACCTGGGCTACTGGCCCATGAGACAGGTAGCCGAAGAGTGAATCTGTAAGCACTTGGTGTGGTGATCTTGTCAATCCCTTCCGGAGCGGGCTATCTGCTGCCGAGCTTAGCTACATAGCTGTCTTGCCTTTACGCAGCAGGTCATAACCCGACCTGGGTATGCAGCAGAGTCTTCTTGTTGGCTGCGCGAAGTTTGTTTTGAACGCCCGACATTGGATTGAATTGGCGCAGGCCAGCGGAGTTTTTCGTTTGTTTAAACTCCCTCAACCTGGCCCCTGGCGAACGAGCTGCTCTGCTGCGCGGCTTGGCTTTCTGCTGCGTCTGGAACCGCGCTTGGCTGTCGCGGCAATTGGGGGTGTTGTTGGCGTAGACAGGTATGAGCGGCCATTGTTGCACCGTGCCCTCACACAGGTTCATGTTCAAACAGCAATCTAGAAGGCGATCCCTAATCCCTACATTAACCCCAAGTAACCTACCTTTTTATAAGTCCTTAAAGGACTTATATAAAGAATTCATGTTAGGGAAACCTAAACAAGGTAGGTTCCTTAGGGTCCAGGTAAACATGCCCAAGCACAGAGAAGGCATTGTTCATCCGGCCATGGGCGAAGAAGCCAAAACCCGAGTCAGCGATGGTGGCACCAGTTTTAGGGTTTACAGTAGGGTGTGGCGCCTGTGTTATAGGGTGCTCGTGCTGTAGTAAGAGTACTATGGGGCCCCGAAATACTATTTCGGGGGCTCCTTATTATATGTGTAGTATAATGGGCCCCAAAACCTTATTCTAATTATTGACGCCCCTACATCAGTGGTCGTCGATGGTCTCCCTGTGAGGAACAAAACTGGTACCACGGTGCGTCACAGGCTGGGCTCGATGTCTTCCTGTTAGTTTCGGGTTTAGTTCCTAGGTTAGGGTATTGTTTCTTTTCAAGGCGGGTTCTGAAGCTTCGGGTCTCTGGTGATGGGGAGTTTCGAGGTCTAGGATTTTAGGGCTTTGCGGGTTTGGGTTTAGGGCCCGGTGAGGGTTTTGTGGCTAAAGGGGTTTGAGGCTTCTAGGGTTGAAAGCCTTTGCGGCTTTGGCGGTGTAGATTTCCGAGTGTAAGGTTTTTTGGGTGTTAAGGAATTTTCAGGGCTCGAGGGCAACTGTATAGTGATTAGGGTGATTAGGGTTTCAGTTGTGTTGTTTTTAGGGGCGTGACACGCTGATCGGGTTTGCGTTACAAATCAAGCCTTATTTCGGTGAATGGTTTTGGTATTAGTACTGTATCAATACTGGTCGCAGGGTGCAGTTCGAGTTCTGCTTCATGTCATAAGGTCCCTAAGCCGTAAACTCTAAACCCATAAGCCCATAATGCCCGTAGCCTTCATGAACCCATAAGGCCCTTGAACCCGAAAGCATCCCGAAGCCCTAAACCGCAAAGCTCTAAACAGCTGCTAACCCTAGACCCTAAACCACATAATGTTCCTAAACCCCAGATCCCACAGCCACACGAAGCCGGTCGAGAAGGAAACAGATTCCCAACCCATTTGGGGTTGAATGGACGGTTTCAGATTAGGAATTAATATAGAGGCCTTAATAATCGCCTATGCTCTTTTGGGGGTTCCTTATTATACTTATAGTATAGTAGGCCCCAAAACCTTATTCTAATTATTAAGGCCCCTACAGTAAGTCTTGCTAATCCTGTACATACCGCAATCTCCTAACCGAAGCAACCGGAGCACCTTAAATCCTTACCCCCACTACATATTAGTGGGCAACAGTGTTTTCTGAAACATTTACAACCTTGGCCCCTTTCGAACACACCGCACAGATCCTACACGAGCCCTAAAGCCACCACAAACTTTTGAAAATGCTCGGCACAAAGCCCCCAAGAGTCCTTCTTGAGGAGTACGAGAAAGCCTCATACGCAAAGCGCTATACCCCGTACGCTAGAAGCCGTGAATCTTCACCCCTAACCTTATTCGTTTTGGAGTACAGGAACCTGAGCCACGCCTCGTAACACCACCGCTTTGAGGCGACGAACCCTGAACCCGAAATAGCCCGTAATCCCTAACATAACCTTTTACATCCTTTTACTCACAAAGAGCCTTCGTGAGCCGACTCCATAAAGCAGGGAGAGCCAGCACAACGTAGCAGAATCACAGCTCCAAAGCCTAATCCCAAAATCCTTCACGCTACACCCTTGACATCCCTAAACTTTACTCTATACCGTAAACTCCAAGCCCTAAACCCCCAACCCCTAAACGCCGAGGTGACGAATCCTGAGGATGACGTTCCGACGAGGATTAGTTTCTCCTCAGGGAGCCTTGCTTTGACCGACGGATCAACCAAGCTGTCTTTGTGAGGGCCCATCGGTCAACCTGAAACTCCATGAGTGCATAGGTCAATGCGAAATCCCTAGCCCGGTCAAGCCCTGAACTTCAAACCTGCGCCTTCAGATGAACCCTAGATCTTAAACCTTAAACCCTACAGCCTAAACCGCGAAGCCGTAAACCAAGCAGGCTTTGCCGTTCTTGTTTTTGGTTGATGCTTCGGCTGCGGACCCGGTGCCTAGTCTGCTTTTCCAGAACCGCCTCCTTCCAAAGGAAGGGGGTGCCGATATCGCACCCTCTGGGCCTTTTGGTGGGTTTGGGTCTGAGCGTTTATGCCGGCTGCGCCAGTGGCCACAAACCCTGCAAAGTCGCAAGTCAGAAACCCGCACTCTTCCCCGCATAATCGGGTATAGCCTCTGGACGAAGAGGTTGAGGTCGAGCTGTAGATCAATCTCCTTGGTCCTTCGTTTGATGTCAAGCATATTTCCCGATTTCCTTCAAGACAAGTGTTGCGACCGATAAGATAGTGCTAATCCGAAGTCCGAGACTTCGTGCCCTGCCTTAACAAGCCGTAGTGCTGTTGGGAAACCCTACAAAGTCGCATTGTCAAAGCAAGAAAGCCGTATAAAGACTTCTGTAAGAATTCGATCAACACCGGTGAACCTGTACTAAGTTAGCGTTATCAGACGCTTGTAAGAGATCGAATTTCGAACCAAACCCTGCCTGTCAGTGGCCCAGATGACCCGTTCGCGCCCTCCCTGCTGTGCCCGGGAGCGCGCGCCTTCGGACATTTGCCAAAAAACGACCCAAGGTCGATTCAGAGGAGTTGTGTTCAAGTAACCATACTAGAAACACCAGTAGTAGTACAACAACGACTACTAATACTAATGATAATAATGATTACTAAAACAGTTGATCTAGAAACAATGATGATGATACTACTACTACTACTACTCCTACTACTACTACTACTACTACTACTACTACTGCTACTACTACTACTAATAATAATTATATAGTAAAACGATATACTAATAATAGTGATGGTGTTGGTGTAAGGGCCTTGAGAAGTAGAAGCAGGTGTAAAAGGGGCTTATGGGGTTGTTCAAAGAGGTTCGTTATCATTTACGGGGGGCTTGTGCCTGTGCCTGAGTAATTACGTGGGGATAAAAGTACCGCTTAGGGCATTTGGATTCTCCAAATTAGCTACAAGTGTAGATTTTGTTCGAACCCTAGGTTAGCTGTTGAGGTAAGTTTTTGTGTCCTGAATCTTAAGACGTGTGCGGGCTAAGCTCTTTTCGGTATGGTCTTTCCTCAGCCAGATACTGGTCCTCGAGCCGCTGAACATAAAGCTCGTACCTTAATTGAGGCCCAAAATCCTCAACAGAGAGCGGCCTGAAGTTGTATTATCGTGATTATGGTTATCATTCTAGTTGTGACTATTATTAGTGTAATAACTAACTGGTATTCTCATTATTACTAGTAGTAGTCGCAGTCGCAGTAGTAGCAGTAGTAGTAGTAGTAGTAGTAGTAGTCCTTGGAGCTCCTTAGTATATCTAAATGCAGTGGTAGACCATACCCCAGAACACGATGTTCACGATTAAGGCGCCCATAACACATGAGCCCTAAACCCTAGAAGCTGAAGCCTGAAATCCCTATACCTTGAGTTCCGGCCCGAACCTGCTTTGGAGTCGGACAGAAACCATATAGCCCTTGCAGGAACATCACAGACATCCCTAAACACTAAACCCTAAACCCTAGACATGACAGAAACCCTCGATTTTAAGCTGTAAAGATGTTGCCTGAGCCGGTTTCGGAACCGGAAGGTGCCGTGCCAGCAGACACCAAAGTTGCCAGAGGCATCTTGGTGCATATCTCCTTTCATACCCGCAGGTTTCGGGCGAAGAGCCAGCAAAAACAAGCGTTTGGGTTGAGCGCGCGAAGTCTAGAGTCGGGGGCGAAATTCTGAGTACGACAGAAGCGAACGAGAACAGAGTGACGATTTGAGGGTAAATTGTGCGATCCGAGCCAGGGATGTGACAAAATGATCGTCCGACAGGTGCTCTAATCATGACCCTGAACCCAAACAGCCAAGACCCAAAGCTTAAGGTGAGATGCCATACAGCCTACGACCCGCCGGCCATCAGCGGCAATATTTTGGTTATGTGCAGCTAGAGCCTAACTACACTTGCAGAGCCTGCTCGATGCGCTTTGTCTTTAAACGTCCCGAGCTTTCAGTCCGCAACGCACCAAAACTCTGCTCATGACCCCTCAACCCTAACCCCCTACGAAATTCCTAAACCCAGAATGTACCAAACTGTCTGCTCATGGCCCTTCCATGTCGCTCGGCTGTGGGCGCTGCATTGCTCTTGGTTGCCCTAGCTCTCTGAAGCGGAGAGAGCCTGCGAGGGCCCCGGGATGCCGATCCATGTCGGGCCACACAAGACAGGCACCTCGGCCTTCCAGAACTTCATAGTGGAGATGGAAGCATGGCTGAAAGAGAATTGGGGCGTGAGCCTGGGATTCCGGGGCGATATTGGTCGACCGATTCTCAACTCGGACTGTGAAGCACTGACCGACGACAAATCTTCCGGGCAACAGCGAACGCGACAAGAGCTACAGAAGGCTATCGGCTTTGCAAAGTCGAAGCTGAAATCCTCGTCCCTTGTTCTCTTGTCCAGCGAAGCCTTCAGTTTATTCAGAAACGAGACTGGGAGTGTTTAAGGCGTATCATTGGTAAAGGCGTCTGCCTGTTTGCGGCAGTGCTACACCGAGACATGGCAAACTGGATCGCATCCTGGTATGCAGACACGACCAAGAACACGAGCAACCCGCCTGGTTTTAGGGTTGAGGGTTTAGGGGCTTTTGGGTTAGGGGGTCCGGGGTTCAGCTTTTCATTGACGCCGACTGCTCATGTCATCACCGCACTTCTTCGTCGGAACCGATGAACATGAAGGGAGAGTGGCACCACAAAGACCATTTGTTTTCCAGCCTGATGGAATGCTGTTCCTTGTAATTTTGCTGCGTGCTTCCCGTGCGCGACAATCCCTTGATGCTAAGCCTGAAATCTTGCCAGGAACTTGTTTCAAATTATCATTGCGAGGAAGCCATTTTACTCACGGTAGATCCTATTATGTTTGCACTCGGTAGATCCATATATGTTTGCACTATGTTATTTTCGTGCTATTTGTATTGTTTTGTAATTGTTCTTATGACCGTGAGTATAAGTCTTATTCTTACCAGTATTGACATTATGTCTATCCTTATTCTGGCAACCTAATTTCCGCAGCAAGAACCCTCAAACTGCACGCGGCGCGGGGCTGCTCTTTGCATTGACCGTGAACTGAGACTATAGGGGCCTAAATAGAGTTTAGGCTTGAGGGTTTCGGGTTTAGGGGTTAAGGTTGTCGAGCAGTGTCCAGTGGAACCGGATCAAAGCACAAGAAATACCATATAGGTAATTAGGTATAGTAACTTGAAGAGAATTTTGATTTCATTCAGTTGGCCTTATTTCTGATGAAACCCAAACGTAAGTATGCAATAATCCAAATAAAGGAAAGAGAAGTGAACGAAATCTGGCTTATTGGTCTCTAATTCATATACATCTGAATTATAATATTCACCTTTCGACTAATATTAGATTATAATAGGAAATGAGATCGATATCAAGATTATAGAAAATCTTTAAAATTATAGACTTAAATATAAATATATTTTTTCTTTTTCTTCGCCTAATTCGCACTTTCATTCTATTCTACTTCGTATTTCTCGATATTTTATATTGATATTTGACGGAATAAAATGAATAGGAATTATAGAAAAAAATATTCATTAATATTTCTTCAGATATCATTTGAAGAAAGGGAAAATATAAATGAAACCTATATTTTTCTCTTATTAATTAGGTCACTTGCGAATGAAATACCGAATCTTATTAATATTTGATTTAGATGCGATTTATATATGTTCATTAATTAAATCGTTGGAATGGGAATTAGATAAGTTAATCTTCTATCTTTATCTTTGAATTTGATTTCTTTTATTCTTTTATATTTTGGTTAGTATTAAATATCTAGAATAAAAATAAATATGAGCTTGTGATTTTATTCTAAATATATATATATAGATAGGAGAGAGATTGAATTTAAAATGAAGAGGTTTAATATGAATTTTCTTTATATGATATCATTAGTTTTTTCTTATATTTTTAAATTGTGGTTGAACTTCTCTTTATGTCTGGGATTGAAATTAGATCTCTGAGTTTGGATTGGATTTAAATAATGATTTAATATCGAGTTCCGTACTTAAGTGGGCCGGAATGGGATCGATCGAAGTCTAATTTAGCGGGATAGCGGCGAGATTAGATTATATTGGATTGAGCCTTGCAGCTTGAGATTAATTGAATTGATTTGGAGTAGATTAGATTAACTAAATAAATGGCTAGATATCGTAAATCTTCTTTTTGGACAAAATTTTCGAGAATAAAATAGCGAAATAAATTATTAATCGTAGCACTTGTTGCTTCGAGATTTCATTTTAATTCCGGGTCACCACTACGATATGTAAGCAACGAAAATTTAATATTTATCTTAGTAATGAAATAGCACTACGAGATAAAAGCAACATATTGGGACTCTATTTCGAAATTCGAATAACGGCAAAAGATCGTATATCTCCGATAATAAATCGTATATCTTGGTATTGAGGGTACAATTATATTGAGATATTATTTCGAAATAAAAGCAATAATAATAAATCGTTCATCTTAGTAGGAGGGATATCAGTTCGAGACCAAAATAGCGATAATATATCTTATATTTGAAAATTTAGGTAAAACTACGAAAAATAACGATAAAAAGATTTCCATCTTAGTATTAGGGCACCATTTCGAGCCCAAAGCAATGGCAAGAAATCATATCTCTTAGCACTAGAATATCATTTCGAAATCTCGAGAATATAAAGCGATTATATATCGTATATCTTAGCAATGGGACACCACTTCGAGATCGAAGCAACGGCAGCAAATCATCCA